TGGTCGGTTTAAAGTTGACTTTTGCTCATCTTCCACCAATATTTGACGAAAGACCATGTGCGCTAGTTTTTCCTGAAAAGAACAATATGGGAGGCAAATATAAATCACCGAAACCTCCGGTTTCAGTCCACTCGGCAATGCAATCTTCCCCTCAACTGACCCCAAATCGTATTTACGTGTCCGATATTTGACTTCTAAATGGAATGACACTTATTTCCTAGAACACCTATAGTATACCTGGACTATGTGGCGTAAAGATCAGTAATGCCCTTTTAACCACAAATGAAAGTCGCTCAAAATTCAATGCTCGGAACATGGATCGTTTCGCTTCATCAAGGGCAGCTTCATAAACCAATTCCCTATAAACACTTTAATGAGGCAATGTCTAGAAGAACTTACACAAATTGTCTCGTTTCTTCCTGAAGAGTTTCCATTTTTTCGAGTTCCAGAGTGAACGTCAGCAAGTCGGGCGTGAAATGGCGAGAAATGTCTCCATTTGAAACTTGCTCGGAAACAACCTAAAAAAATTAAATTGTTATATCATAGTAATCAAAACCTTCGCAAAGTGATCTATTAATCGGCAAAAACCTTCTTCGGTTCTGATGATGGATGTTGTGAAAACGCTTGGTAATTGATGAGGAGTTACAGTAAATCCTAAAACCGCCCGTTAGTCAAACAAAAACTCCCATTTGAAAAATGTACTTGTATTATTCAGATGAATTGCTGATTCGTTTATTGTTTCCCCGACAGTGCTATTGTTGTCATCTTCTTCAAGTTCTTCCGTTACTTGGTCAAGTTTTGGTCGAATTAGTCTTGGTGGTTTCGGCGGGTTTCTAAAACAAGTCTTTACTTGGCCAATATTGAAAATACTCACTTTATGATTATTTGTTTGATTCCAAGGATATCGTCCATACTGTCATCCGTTTCGTTCATCGAGTCTGCTTTCATACATTCATCGTCGAGGTTCTGAATAGAATTTCTAAAATTTTCATACTTACAATAGAGATTAGATGCAAACTTTTGAAGTTCGACTGTTTCTTCTAATTCCTCATTTTTGTAGAAAACAACACTTGTTTCACGTAAATTTCCCAGAGGCTTCGCACAGAAATCTAGAAAAGCTGGTACACGCACAAATATACAGCTCGAATTACTTGGCTCTTCTTCTAAGTGCGTTGAAAGTTTGCGTATCTTGACTGGCGACTCCAAAACGAAATCATCAAAGATCAGTGGCTAAAAATGCCGTAGGTAACTCTCTTACCTCAAAACACTTGGCCTACCTCAATCTTTGTCTTCATGTTTGGGGATTGCTTTTGAGCTGAAATTGCTTGGAATAAGGGTGAGCGCTAAAATTCGAGGTTAAGACATTTTCTTAGAACTTTAACCTGTATAAAAGTAGGCTTTTTTTTGCTCGGAGTTGCTAAAGGAGTAGAGCTTGAAATGCTTTGTCGCAAGGATATCATCCGAGGAGATAACAAAGTGGTTTCGAAGCGTCTATAAAATTAACCGATTAAGAAACAAAAATTCTATTAAACCTAGATACAGCCGATGCGTTTATCGATGGGCTGATTTCCGTTGCGAAGCCGTTGTCAGAGGTCATCACATTTTCCCAAGGAAATTCTCTGAAATGAACTTTTGCAAATTTAAACCTTCTCAAATTAAACTAAAACTCAAATTTTAAAACAAAGCTTACCAGCAAAATAGGTAGGCATAGTAAAATAAATACCGAGTCAACTCCACAGGTAATTGAAAAGATTCCATTCGAATGAATGCTATTTTCCGTCGGATTTCGGATAAAGCTGCTTCAAATCTTTTCTAAAAAAATGTTAACTGTATCATTGGTAAACTAAATACCATAGGATACGGCGCACTTTTAAATTTTGAGTCGATTTTGTGGCATTCGATAGCCAAGTGATTGAGCTTTTCCTGAAAACCAGCGACTTTTTCGATGATGTTTTTCCAGGATGATTTGTTTCGCCTAAATATGCAAGTGTGTAAAATATAATGATCACTTGAATTTAAAGCATGAAGAACCGAAAAGCAAGACAAAGTGCGGCTTTTTGCTTTGCAACTAGACAAAAACACCATAAACTAACCTCGTAATTTTCTCAATAGCATACTTCAAGAAGTTTCGGTCAAGAATCCGAGCGAATGTTTGATTCGTAGTCACCAACTCGTCCTGAACGATTGTGAGCAAACGTCGTTGAACCACCGTCTTCGTGTCTGTTATTTCATTCATCCTAAACGAATGAGATTATAACTTTCTAAAGAACTGGAATGCCAAGTAAAGAAAAGGTTAAAAAGCTGAAACGGTCAACATTAAAATTTGCACGGCAAAAGCAGTTAGGGAGAAACTATAATCTTGTGTTTGTTTTATCGGGCCCTCTTTTGGAAAATTCAGACACATATTTACCTACCGTAATACCTGTAATAGTAGCGCCCCCAGGGGGGAAGGGAAAAAAATAATACCGCCGCGCTACTATTACAGGTACTACGGTATTTAACAATATTGTTATTTCTACGCAACATCTAGAAAGCGAGGCCAAAGTTCGAACAAATCTTTTACTAGATTTGCAAGTTGCAAAAAAATAAGCGAGAAATAAGAAATAAATACCGTATTTCTTCGAATAGAAGACCGGGCAAAGAGTATCATCGTGTACTCCTGCGTAGCAGCCATTTTTAAAATTTCTTTTCTGCATAAAAGCTTTCAATGAAGTGCTATAGGGCTGGAAAATGACTCAAAAATACGACATGAGCTAACAGATTTTTGAGCCATTTTCCAGCTCTATAGCACTTGATTGAAAGCTTTTATGCAGAAAAGAAATTTTAAAAAGGGCTGCTATGCAGGAGTACGCGATGATACTCTTTACCGGGTCTTCTATTCGAAGAAATACGGTAATGTGCGTAACACGGCAAATGATTTCTTTATCAAACAAAGAGATGCCATAATAAAAAGATATTCAGTTGTTTGGTTGAATTCTCATTTCTCCTTTACATTCTTCGATTTTCCAAATTTTGTTAGTTGCTTGAGTCAGTACCAAATCTAATATCATTTTTTCCTTGAGTTTTTGCATTTGCTTATCTAAACGACAAAATTTACCCAAACCAGCACCTGCAAACACTAATTGGATAAAGAATAATTGTGAGCTTTCGCAAAAAATATCGCTGAAAACCGTTTGGTTCCAAAAAAGCTTAAATCACCTGTCGAAATGTGAATGCCTAAAAGCTGAAACTTTCATTTGGTCTTGGTTACCTCTGAAATTTCACAAAAATGAACGGCACTTCCTATGACCCGACAATGCCTGATGTGATCGACCCCGTTGAAATCACATCATCCACAATATTTCTGGCCATGGGAATTCCGACGTTCTTCGTCTACTTCCGCATTTTGTCCCACTTTTGCAGCAAGGGATTCAAGTCTCAGTTTCATAAACTGTTCCTCATCTGCATCACTAATGTAAGTATAATTTACACTCAGGCTGCTTCAAGATATTCAAGAAACCCAGAGAACAGGCTTGGATAATTGTTACCGTCCACCTCAATCATTTCCAGGACATGTTTGCCTTTCTTGCTCAACTCTTCACCCTCCGTCTTCCCACTTGGGGTATCGTTTATCCCTATCGTTTCGTTCTCACCGGTTTTGTGCCAATATTCCTGAACTTTCTCCTCCAAACGACAATCATGGTACAAATCTTTGGTGTTTTCTTGATGGCCCTCAATCGAGCCACTTGTATTGCATACTCATATACACACGAAAAGGTTCATTTAAGAGGAATTCTGTAAATCCACTATCCATTTTCAGATTTGGAACAGTTATCTAAAGTATTTTGTGCTGGCTTTATTCGTGGGACCGATTCTTTGCAATTTGAATTTGCTTTTTGAAGGATCCGAATTCATGCAATATGGAAAAGGAGCTTTTATGATTGGGTCAAACTCGTCGGTGTGTTCATGTTTTAGCAAAAGACTATCATAATCATTTTCACGGAATGACAATAGAATACGATAGCTTCTCTCCAATGTGCTTTTAAGAAAGACACAGCCAAGTCACACCCATCATTTCAGCCACCCTTCACCATCATGTACACAATCGTTGCAATTATCGGAATCCTCGGTGCATTCATTCTCAATTGTTACAACGGTTTCTATGTCTTCAAACACATCAAGAAGAAGAAATCCCGTGCCGAGCTTCGTGATCTCAAATTTCACATGACAACCCTCTTCACTTTTATGCTTCAAGTGATCATGATGCTATTCTTCGTGAGTTCAGCATCTGATATTGTTAACTGTTAAGCATAGATGTTTATTCAATTCAACAAGTTTCATCATATTGAAGGAATCAGTGAAATTATGTACTATGTCTATTCATTGGATCCACCAATTAATGACTCGGCTTCATTGCTTCCCATATGGTAAGCAAAGAGATTTTGGTAAAATTTCAGAAGTTGCTATGCAAATTTCTCAAACGGTGGGCGTCAATAGACATAGAAACACCTGTTCTTCAGGTACGTATCCTAGAATTCAGCTGAAAATCCCCATATAGCTCGTGATTAGAGAACTACGTTGAACTTAGCGTTTAGAAAAACAAATGAGAAAACTGATGCGAATCTTTTGAGGTTTGTCATCTACATATCCGAAGATTTTCGCTGGATGGTTTGTGGGAATTGTGGAGTCGCGAATAGGGATGCCGATGGGAATACGATCATTGTATCGACACAATCAGTGAAGACAATCGATTCAAGAGCACACCATTCGGATCTCGGAAGAGCACATCATTCAGATAAAAAGCACGATCATCATAGACAACAAGCAAAGCACATGTCAACCGAAAGAAGACTCAGTAATTAAAAGGAAAAAGGTAACTCGCTGCTTTGTTTGTTGTCTATGATAACATATAGCTAGCTGTGTTCTTTCTAATAACGATATTGCTTTTAAAATGTAAGACTTATATACAGAATGTTTATTAGAACAATTTATTCCAAAGTAAATTATACACTTTACACCTATACAATACTTGTTGGACGTTTCTCCACCCATTCTTTGATTCCCGGCAATGAATAAACTCGCTGCTTGTGTTCACTTACCTGAAAATCTCAATTTTTTGGTGATCTTGATGCTACAAACCTTTGAATACTTTTCAGTATAACTCTTGTTGTATTGAGAAAATGTTTCGACCACTTCTGCCAAGAATAAATCCACCCAAGATACTTTATTGCCAACCTAAAATTGGTAGGAATTAACCGATATACGATAGCTTTTTCGGAGCATCTAGCATTGTTTTAGTCACCCACCAGAAGTCCCGATTTGTTCACATTGAGATATTTGTTTTCCACGATTGGCAAAAACGAATCCGTGGCTGGGATAACATTCTCAGTGTAGTATTTATTCTAAAATTTGAAAGATTAACCTAAAATTCTTTTGTTCAAGAACCAAATCTCCTTGAATCACCCCATTGGCAATTGGGAAGAAAGGTCGGATCTGATTTCGATAATCCTCGATTTGATCAGCCAATGCATCGATTTGAGCCGCATCCCAATCATTCTCCCCTCCATAACCTATTCTTTTATGCATTTTGGTTAGATATTGGTTTATTGACTTTAACTACAACTAACACAGCGTATACGAATACACTACTGGACAATGAAATATCATGTTTGGAAAACGATCGTCACTTTCGCGCGTCTGTAACTCCCTTGTCTTTACCGTATTTCTAAATATTAATATTACCATTGTGTAGCCCTTGAAAAGAGCTTTCAGAAAATGTATAACACTAATAGTTTAAACTCAAAGACAAGGGAGTTACAGACGCGCGAAAGTGACAATCGTTTCCCAAATATGATATTTCATTGTCCAGTACTGTACCTGCTACGATAAAACTAGAATGACTTTTCTAGCAAAATTTCTCCTTAAAACTCTGCAACTACTGTATACCAAAATTTGGCGTCCCTTGTCGCTTTGGGGCAACAAATAGAACACTCCAGTAACCAAAAGTGCACAATTATATTTTGTTTAAAAACTTTCAGCTTACCGAATTTCTTTCCCAAATAACGGTAGATAGCTCGAGATTGAGCCAAGGGTTTTCCATCAACAAACAAGATTGGCACTTGACCGAAAGGAGTCGCTGAAAGATTTTGATGCGTTTTAGAAAATGAAAGCTTTGGATAGCTTTGCACATTTATTTAAATTGATATAAATTGAAATAGTAAATCGTTTGAACCAACTGTTCTTTATTGTTTTCCATTCATCTCGGCTGAGTCGATGATCCTCATAGGGTTGACCGGAAAGCGCAAAAAGGAGACGAGCCGGTTCAGCTGCAAACTTGGATTTCGTTTTCAACTGATTTTCAACGTTTTCAATGTTTTCAACAATAAAAACTTGTTTTCATTCATCTCAATTCTTGAAAACTTTCATTAAAAACTCACCTCTTGCTCTGATCGCAAAGTACATCAAACGATACTTTGACATGCTTCACTAAATGAAACTTTGCCCAACAGTAAGATCCATTTAAGCAGAAAAGCAACGGATCAATTCCAACTTTTCAAGGCAACTAATAGAAATAAAACTTTATTTCCTAATCAAGTTATTCAATTATCCGGAAGTCTTTGGTCTTTTCTCAATCCATTCCTTGATTCCGGGTAGTGAATACACTTTCTCGCGATGGGCTCTTATCTGTAAACTCATCAATGTCTCATTTATAGGAATGTCATGCAAATTTGATACTAATACTAGTGTTTGATACTAATATTTGATACTAATAATACCTTTGGATAATTTGCAGCATAGTTCTTATTGTGCAAAGTGAACGTTTCCACCAATTCTGCAAGGAAAAGATCCGCCCAAGACACTTTGCTGCCGATCTAAATTTTAAACAATTCTATCATTCATGTCGAATTTGTTTTGAAAACAAGTAATGTCAGTAATCTTGAGGTATATCCACATTGTATGAATACTTACTAGAAAACCAGATTGATTCAGTTCAAGATATTTCTTTTCGAAGATTGGAAAGAATGAATCCGTGGCTGGGATGACCAATTCGTTGTACGATTTTTCCTGAAAGTTTTCAGTTCTCTTTCTAAAGTGCAATGTTAAATTTAACTGTAAGTTTGAAACAAACCAAATCCCCTTCAAGCATCCCATTCGTAATCCGAATGAATGGACGGACTTGAGCTCGGAAATCTTCAATTTCATCTCCAAGGGCATCGATTTGAGCCGAATCCCACTCGTTCTCACCACTATAACCTAAAGATAACACAGTATAAGTTGTTATATCTATCATTTTTATTCATTTTGCTCATGATCGCTTACCAAATTGATTCCCCAAGTAGCGATAGATTGCTCTTGATTGAGCGAGTGGTTTCTCATCGACGAATAAAACGGGAATCTGTCCATATGGCGTTGCTGAAAAAAACACAGTACTCATTCTCAATTTGTCAATGATCAATGAACAATTCATTTTTTTGCAAAAAGCAATGAATAGTTCAGCGTGAACCAAAGTTTTGTGCAGAGAGGAGGTTCCTTTTTTACCCTTTCCCTCTCCTTTCCTTTTTCGGTTTCAAAACAATTTGGCAAAGAAATATGTCCCGAGGGGAATTGAACCCTAGACCTGCTTCAAGGCAGACGCTCTACCACTGCGGTACAGGCGCTGGTATTCTTTCTGAGGAGGAATTGAGAAAGAAGGCAGAAGAAGAGAGGACGAGAAAAAGTGCTGGGAGACTATGAATTTTAGCTTGCTCAGTCAAACATCATCATTTGCTGTAGTTGCTTTACGATTTACAATCTAGTTATCTAGTTTCATTGTTTCTCTTGAGTTCATCATTAAACTTATCAAAAGTTCTAACTAACTTGGTTTGATCGTTTTCCAATCTTCACGCGAAAGTCGGTGATCTTCAAAGGGAACCCCCGCAAGAGCAAACAAAAGACGAGCTGGTTCTCCTGAAATTTCAATTGAATCTTAAGTTTTTGAATAAAAAAGCAACTTAAAACTGACCCCGAGCTCTGACGCTAAAGTACATCAAGCGATACGTTTTCATTTTCAAATAATACTTGAATCTGATGCAAATTCACCAACCAAGTATGAAATTTTATTGAGAAAATCAAAGTTTGGTCAAGCAATGAACGTTCTTTGAGGGAAACAAGCGGGAAATCGATTTGAGAGGGTCAAAAAGAAGGAGAGGACATCAAAGAACGAACAAAATGACGTAAACAAAGGCTTGGTGATAATTTGAAGACAATTTTTACATCAATTTGCTTCAATTGCTCACACATTGGCCATTCTCATAGATTTTTGGGTAAATGTGATCAATGAATATCTGAAAGGAATTCAAATCTTGTGCAAAGCTTGTGCTTTTTCTTCAGCTTACATCATTTTCCTGTCTCCAAGCATGAGTGATCAAAGTGACCGGACATCCATTGACTGTGATCTAAAAATAGACTTGGCTTTCGAGAGGTGACATTTGATATTGGAACCGTATTGGAACCGTATTGGAACCGTATTGGAACCATATTGGAACCGTATTTGATATATTGATTCCATTTTTTACACCCTCACCGCACAAGATTTCCCTCTTTTCACTAAAAAGCAAAGAGTGTAGACAGCGATTTCATATTCGGGACTTGTTCCAACGAAAAATCCCCCAATTTTCTTCATATTTTTCCCTTTCCATTTATACGAAACAACAACGATATCTTCCTGAATCAATGTTGAGATTGAATACTTTTCAAAGACTCAAACCTTCATAGAGAAGTAATGACCTCGATAATCAATCTGTTCATTCTCATCGTTTTCTAAAAGATAATACCGTACCCAGTTATGCATTCCAGAAACTCGTCGTCTATTTAACTGAAAGATTTGAGTACTATCAATTCATTTCGCTCAACCTCTCCAATAAAAGTGTGCTCAAATGCACTCGTATCCTTTATGTGATTGTTCTTTGCCGATTTACTCCTCGAGAATCGTCCAAACCATAATTTTCGTATTTGTGCCCGGAATTCTTTTTTACTTGATGCAAATGGATGGCCTAAGTTTGTTTGTAGAAAAACCTGATCTGGTGCTTTCTTACCAAAAATCCAATTAACTACCTTTTTCTTTCAGGAAATCAAAAACTTTGAGCAATACGGGCTTGGTCAAAATCACATCTAAGAACTCGTCAATCTCTAGTTTAGCCTAAAAGTTTGGTTTTGTTTGAAAGAAAGCTCATTCTTTTTATCACTCTTTCCTTCGGAGGGGAAAATATGCGCTTGTGGCTCAGTGGCAGAGCTCCTGGCTTTAAAGCAGAAGGTCAGTGGTTTGATTCCTCTCGGGTCTTTCTTTACGAGTTTTTTTTGAGAAAAAGGAATGGAAGGGCAAAGAGGAAGAGGAACGGTAACGTCTGCTTCTGCTAACGATAAGCCAAGCACAAATAAATAAAATAGTGAATCACAAGCTTCATCTCATTTCAATGAAAACTCATCTCATCCGTATCTCGCTCTTCTTGTCTCAAATCCGGTTGATAATTATCGAAAAGTGCAATCATTTTTCGATATGTTTCTTTTTGAAGTAAATCTTCATTTACAAAAGAAAACAATCTGCAAACTTGAAATCATTCAAAGGTTGAAAATTTTTCACGTTTCATCAGCCCCATCTTCATTGTTATTTCTAGGAGTTTTTCCCTGTAGATTTATCTTAATATCTCCTGATCCAGCTCTATTCACATCAAGATCCCATAATTGAGAAGAAATCGTCTTCAATTCAGATTTGCTCACGTTGATATCTTAAATTAAACTAGTCTTCCACTGAAACACTAACTAGAAAAGGTCGCAAACTTAAGATGAAATTTCAAAACGAGACCTAACCTATTTTGTTCAGTTTTTCAAACAGATATTGGCGGATTCGGAAAGGCCGTAAAAAACTGAACAAGATAGGATAGATCTTGTTTTGAAATTCCCTCTTAAGTTGGCGATCTTCCCTAGTAAGGACAAACAAGTCCTTGACGCAAAACTAACTTGGTAATTCGGCTTTCGAACTTACATAGCTTATCAATAAAAATAAAATAACAAATGAAATTGTTGCAAGGAGAAATTTTTGATGTCTCATTCAATCAATGATGGAGAAAGACGTTTTTTGAGTGGAAAAGTTGGAGACATCTGAGAGAAGAAAAGGGAAAAGATTTGATGGAGAGATTGGCTGGGGAAGGGAATTTTGGTTTGCTTGACTTGGAAATAACATCAAGTGTATGTGAAAATGTTCAAAAGTTTATTTTTACATTGTTTTTTGAATTAAATAGATTTTCCTTCACGAACCTCCACAGCAATTTCTCACCCAGTCCCAGTAAAGGTTCGTTCGCTCAGCTTGACAACCGTAAAGTCCTGAAAACACTGATTCCTATAGTTATTGAGCTTTCTAACATCTCTATCATACAATATTTTTTTGCTTTTTTTGCAATATTCCCCGTCTTGTTTTCCTGGTTCTCCACAGTCTTGATAATAAGGAAGCTTTATCTACAAAAAGAATTGATTCCTTGTATTTAAACAAAATTCAAAACTTGAAAATAGCCACAGGATACAGATCCCATATCTTCTCGACATCCAATTGGTTGACAATTTGATTCATGTTGACAGATACAATCGATACACGATCCTGCTGATGTGGTACCTGAAGATTATTATGGTACAACAGTTACTGTATGCCGATCAAATCAAATGTCCTTATGAGGTTGTTGAAAAGAGAAATCACGTTTCTCAAATCATTGAGCAAAAGAAATCAAAGTAGAACTAATATCAACCTACAAAATCGAAAGATTTAACGAAATTTAACCAACGATGAAGCCAATTTTAAAGCTCCTAAAGCAAGGTTCACTAAAGCTAAAATCGATGAACTCAATACCAATAGGTCATTATTATTGGGTTTGGGTCAGAAGAGCTTTCTCCCACTGGCAGCAACACAACAGGTTTATTACACTGACCACCCAAAGAAAAGAGATTTCGAGCGCGTACATCAGCAGCCATTTGATGACAAAGCTAAATTTATAAGGATTTTATTCCATTCTGCAAGTTTCAATAAATACCCGATCAACTGCTGCCCACTTCAAATCATCCATCTTTTCGGTAAAAAGTGGACGTGGTGGGTTTTTGAGCACTTGACATCGTTTGTTGGCCTTAATAAGCAAAGATTTTAGAAAAAACCTAATTGGCAAAACTCTATTCTTAAGAAGGATAAACATTAACCAACTTCAACCATAATTTTAGCCACGATATCACGCTCATCTCCTATTTTAGGCGCTGGCATCTTTAACGTTTGAATAGCTCTGTCAAGATCCTGGGCCAATGCAGTATCAATAACCTGAAAAAGTGATAAAACAAAAAACAAAAAAAAGTGATAAAATTTAAACAAACCAGCCTTTACTGGAGCTTTTAATTTTTCGTCTGCCAATACACGAGCAACTTTCAATTCGTTAATCAAAAAGTCGATAAGTGCATAACGACGAGTTGTTGACGAAAAGTGTTCCTCCAATGAACCCGAGAGTAGATCAGAAATTCCACAATCTGCATTAACTTTAGAAGCCAAAATTTAGTAAAATTTACCCAATTCAGTCAGAAAGGCGCTAAGTTCATAAAGAAAAGCCTTCGCTTCGTCAAGTGATTGAATAGCAGATGGACTTTCTTGTAACTCATCAAGGACCTAAAACAAATGATAATTTTAAATTGAAATTTAAATACCTTAATTTCTGTACACAGCGTATGAAGTAATTTGAAGAAATCCAATTTGCCCAAGCCTTGTTCAATGATTGGAGCGAAGTTGTCGTAGCCAAGAATATCTTGTATTCTAAAAGACACTTTTTAAAATCCTAAATTACAAGCCTCACCCTTTCAAATTGTGACAACTGAACGTCGTTGATTTATCTACTTCCATAGAGGACATTTCTAAAAAAGACAATTCTTTCAATTTCTTGAAAAAAAACCCTTGGATTTTCCTATTTTACCCCTACCGTGGAAGATGTGGCTACCGCTAACAACATTCAGGAGCTATTTGTTCAGTTCATTCACACCGGGTAACAGCTTAATTCTATACTAACTTCTTAAAAACTTTAGTAATCCATCTACAAATCATATCAACTGGGACAAGTTCGGCTCAAAGCTGGAGTATCTAAGCCTTGTAACCAGGATGTCCAATCTTCACAAATCGCTTGATATCGACTTTTGCTTGTTGAGGAGCAGGCAAAAACGGTTGTTTCTAAATAAAATTCTATTAAAAGCTATTAAAAGAATTAAATTACCGCAGCCTCCTTCGCCGCACGTCGAGCCAGGTTAGCTTGGTGCTTTTTACCCTGGGTGTGAGCCAGGTACGAACCTATAAGTAAAGATTACAAGTAAAAACTTTTATTTAATACATTCATTGTTATGCAGAAGGAGACAAAGTTTGCACTCGTAAGTACCGACATGCTTTCGCATAAAATAGGGGTCCTTGTTCAAGTCGATCGTTTCAAGGGCAAGTTGTCTAACAAATTTCCTTCATTGAACTAAATTTAGTTCGTTGGTGTTGCGGGAAACAGTCCGATGGACTGGCGTAAGCGTTTTCGAACTATGGCTTCATATTATGGGATTGTTCATTTTCACAATTTTACTGGTAAGCGGCAAAGAACAAAAAGTCAAAAGCCAATTTTAGACTTTAAAAATTTACGACATTTTTGATCGATCATATTGGTTTTTGTTTACACCATTGTTTGCGGGTAAAACACAAAGTATCCGATCCCAAATCCAACAAGTTTAGCATCCATTTTGGACGGATACTTTCTTTTCATCGTGTTTATTCGAACAATTTTGCTATATAGAGAGAACAAAGTGGCGTCAGTGAGGTGAGTCTAAATGTTAAAAGGGGAATTTGAAAGTCAAAACCAAAAAATATTGAATTTGCAGATGGACCCTCCGTACGATTAGTCGAGATTTTTCAACTGGATAAGACTTGCCCTAACTTTATTATTTGAGGTAAGTAGGAAAAATCCATTGTCGTTAAATATGTATGCACAGATCTGGATCTGTCACAAAATAGATGGAGACCTCAATCCGATGCAGGTATCATACTAGATTATACATCATAAAATCATAAAACTATTTAGGTTTCTCTCCAACACGGATATTCAATGGTCTTTGTACCAGTGTGGATTTTCATGATAAGCCTTTGCATCCAAGCTTGCAAATTGTTTTAAACACAAAGGGTAAAGAGTTTATTCCAAATTAAAACGCAACATATTTAAAGACGTAAGAATTGTCGCCAATCTTGTAAGCTTTGAACCCAATATCCTTGATCTTGACTTGAGTTGAAGCTTTCAAGTTGGCGTCGACGGCCTCCACATTGGCTTTTTCAATCGTGGCAGCCATTTCCTTAATGGACTTCAACAGCGCTCCTCGAACGTCCTTCTCCATAAGGTTCATCTCGTAGAAGTTCGAGTTCAACCTAAATTAAAAGTCATGCAAACGCCAGTTTGTATTTACTTTTTGGCCTTGGCCCACGCCTCTCCAACTTGCAGGCTTTGAGCGTTACTGAGTCCAACATCACGAATCGCGTTCAACACTTTCTCCTTTGCCGAATCAGACTTGATCAGGATGTGAAGACGCTTCAAAATGAACTCCTTGACGACAATTGACGCGGCTACCCAAAGTTTTTCGGAAAACTGACGGAGATCTGGATATTTCTCGTTGGAGTACTCGTTGGCCATCTCGATGAGCTTGTCGAAGTCGTACCGCTCGTCAAGCACCTGAAATTGAGAATTGTGAAAGCATTGAGCACAAATTTTTACCTCGCTCTCAGGACCTTCCAAATCTTCGACTACAACTCCTTCCGGCAACATTTCAACAAAATCCTTATAGTGCTCCTCCTCAACGATAATCTCGAACCTGCCATTGACAAGAATCTTCTTCGACATCTTGAGCGAACTGAAAAAGCGAGAATGAGCGTCAAATAAGGTCAAATAAAGTAAAAAAAAAGTAACGTCCTAACGAAAACGAGATCTAGCAAAAGCAATGATAAAGCTTTCGTGATAGGGAGAGGCAAGGTAATAAAATTTGAGGATTCACATTAAGAGACTAAGGACTTTAACAAGAAAATAGATTGCTTTCCTATCCATAACAACCTATATATAATCCCCGGTTGGAGACCACTGCTAGTCTTACCTAAAAAAGGTTCGCCCGATTGATCAAAGAATCCAGTGAGAGTAAAAAAAAACAGCAAAAAGAAAGTCCTCGAGATTCGAGGGAAATAAAGGGGAGAACAAGTCCGAATGGGTGTGCCAGGGGGTCAACGGGGGCAATGCAAAACATGTTGAAACAAGAGAAACAAGAAAAGTTTGTTTACGATTTTGCAGCTGGTGTCACAGTTGAGCTTTTCGTAGAGCAATGACCGAAAAAGAAAGTGCTGCGCGCAATTGAATGTCTTAACATTCAGCACGATTGAATGTCTTAACATTCAGCACGATCGAATATTTTCGCCTCCATTTCCCTTAAATGTCATTTGGGGGAAATGGCGGTGAAAATATTCGATCGTGCTCAAATGCTAGGTATGCTTGCACGAGATCGAAATTTTTACGCGTCTTCAGTACCTAAAATGCTTTGCACTATAAATGAACAAATAATACACCTCTAACAACATCTTCCTGAACTGCGGCAATATCTCAGGAGATAGCGTTCGAATCTAAATAGTAATCTTGTTTGTGTTGTTTTTAGCATATTTCTACCTGAAAATCTATTGCCGATACACTCATCTATGTTAAGTGTTCAAAACATGAACGTAAGGCCTCGGTAGTGTTGGCTCTAAAATATATGATGACTAAAAGCACTTAAACTTTAGCTTTACCTTCTCAACGATGCTGAAAAAGCGCTCTCTAGATCCAACAAATTTCGTTTTGCTTCCAATATCTTCCGCTCCTCTTTTTCCATCGTTTCTAATAAATTTATACTGAAGCTGCTCACAAAAGCACATACCGTAATCCATTTTTTCAAATTCGAAGCCTTCAAGTGTTTGAGTTGAAGCAAGAAAGAATGGAGCTTGTTTGGGTTTCTGAAAAAGAAAATAACAGATCAAACGATTTGACTCAACCTTTGGCGACTCGATTGGTTTGTTCCGCTCTCGAATAATCGATAGATCCGGCAAATTAGCCCATCGTGATGGAGCCAAGCCCGAATAAGTAACCAAAGAAGTATCAAGCTAAAGATGTGCCGTTTAAAAAGTTGACGACGACATATTTACCTGTTCAAAAGCTCTGTTAAGCGCCTCCAAATCCAGAGTCGATCCATCAGCATTTTCGAGGCTCTTACTTCTAAAATTCAAAAGAATCAAAAAATTTTTTTTTAATCAAAGTTTACCTATCTTGACCCCAAACGGGCTTGTAGTCAATAGGCAAAGCGCAAATTGGTACTCGACCAACAAAGTGTAATTTGCTAGCCCACACATATATTGCCTGTTCTCCTTGATGACAAGTTGCCAAAAATTCTCCAGTTTCATTGAAGGATATTCCTGTGCATGGTGCTCCATAAAGAAGAACATCAATCAAGGAGGAAGTTACAAGCTCCCAAACCTAAAAAAAACAAAATATAATTTACTGTTGTTCGAATAACCCGAATATAATTATCTCTGTCTCCAGTAAGCAACCATTTACCATTTGCGGAAAATGACATTGAGAGCACCTAAAATTTTTATATAAAATAAAATTTAATCAACTCACGTCGTTTCCAACTTGCTTAAATGTGCGGGCAACTTTTCTTGTCAAAGTATCGATCACAGAAACAAAACAAGCTAAAAAACTTTCTCTTATTCAACATTACAAATCATACATTTAGCAGGATCTTCGAGAGCTACAGCTATAAGACTGTTACTTCGACATGAAACCATCTTTGTGATAGATCCTTTAGCCTTCATACGAGTCTTCATTCGACCTAAAATACATTAAGTAGAGGTTATGGAGGTTTCAAACAGCTTATACCTGTCCTGAGGTCCCAGAAACTTAAAGTCCCATCAGCTCCGCCACTTATAAGCTCGTGGCCGAGTGAGTCTATTGCAAGACCGTTAACTGATGATGTATGAGCAAGTTTCCACATGGAGAAATCGCAATGGATGTAGCAATGGTATCGAGTAAATAATCCTTCTCAAAAAAGCGGCCATGTGCGAGCTATAAAAGATGTTTAAACATGAATCCCCATGAATTTTTACCTTGTGCGTTCCTTGGCTTTGCTTTCGGGTAGTCCATGTCGTGACAAATAGCGTATTTTGATGTCGGCAAAGAACGTTATCCCACTGTGCTTCACGTCCAATCTACATTGGACAACTTACGTTTGAAATTCTTTGACTTGGTTAGTTATTCACGAATACAAAGATTAAAACTTACCGCAATCTCAATGACCGGTTCCAATCGAATACTATCCAAATCAAGTCCCTTCTTCTTGGCTTTAGCCCTGAACACGTAGTAGATTGTGAAGATGGCGTGTCAAACCTTGAAATGGTACCAGCGTTTCCTAACTTCTGGCGTGTTACTGCATTCAACACGGAATATTTACGAACAGAGCCATCAAGTCCTGCTGTCACGACTTCGTGATTACTACTAAAATCGAGTATTCATTGTAAACACAACTATTAATAGTACCTGAAAATCACAGTTTTCACAGGCAGCGAATGGCCTTCACCGTCTGGCAAATCAATGAAAGTGAAATCGAAAGATTTAACGAAATTTAACCAACGATGAAGCCAATTTTAAAGCTCCTAAAGCAAGGTTCACTAAAGCTAAAATCGATGAACTCAATACCAATAGGTCATTATTATTGGGTTTGGGTCAGAAGAGCTTTCTCCCACTGGCAGCAACACAACAGGTTTATTACACTGACCACCCAAAGAAAAGAGATTTCGAGCGCGTACATCAGCAGCCATTTGATGACAAAGCTAAATTTATAAGGATTTTATTCCATTCTGCAAGTTTCAATAAATACCCGATCAACTGCTGCCCACTTCAAATCATCCATCTTTTCGGTAAAAAGTGGACGTGGTGGGTTTTTGAGCACTTGACATCGTTTGTTGGCCTTAATAAGCAAAGGTTTTAGAAAAAAAAGAGGCCATTGCAACAAAACCAAACAAAAAACCTGTGTCAAGGAACGACTCCGTCTGATGCTTCGGGATAGTCAATTTGAAAGAGTAATGCAAGTTGTCCAGTTTGTGGATCACGCTCACGAGTCACCTAAATTAGTTCGTTTTACAAAAATATATGCACAAATAAACTTTCTAACGCTCTTGTTCTCGCTAATACAAAAATGTCTAACTAAATAGCTTAACTAACCTTGTAACCAGGACGTCCAATCTTCACAAATCGCTTGATATCGACTTTTGCTTGTTGAGGAGCAGGCAAAAACTGCTGTTCCTAAATAAAATTCTATTAAAAGCTATTAAAAGAATGAAATTACCGCAGCCTCCTTCGCCGCACGTCGAGCCAGGTTAACTTGGTGCTTTTCACCCTGGGTGTGAGCCAAGTACGAACCTATAAGTAAAGATTACAAGTAAAAACCTTTATTTAATACCTTCATTGTTGTGCAGAGTGAGACAAAGTTTGCACTCGTAAGTACCGACATGATTTCGCATAAAATAGGGATCCTTGTTCAAGTCGATCGTTTCAAGGGCAAGTTGTCTAAAATTAGAAGTATGATAGTGCTATAAACTAGACAATGTCATTTTAATAATAGTAAATATCTTTATATTTTTATAAACTATATTTACAAAAAAAACCAAACCTGAGCCGCTCTCTGCGATCAATTCCTTCTTGTTGCGGCGATGCTGGGGCTCCGCTGCCCGTCTTACCGCCAGCGCGATTTTGAAAGTCCATTTCTAAATTTAATTTATTAAAAAATTAAGCATTGATTGAGTCAACCAAATCTCAATTCAACTACGGAAATCGAAATCCAAAGAAGCACAAAGAAAACCGTTAATTGCTTTCACTCGTAGCCAATGTTTATATTTTAATATTTTAAGCGCTATTCGAGTTGCTTTTTTAATAAAAATCCAAACATCATCTATTAGGTGCACAAATTTCCTTCATCGAACTAAATTTAGTTCGATGGTGTTGCGGGAAATCGTCCGATGGACTGGCGTAAACGTTTTCGAACTATGGCTTCATATTATGGGATTCTTCATTTTCACAATTTTACTGGTAAGCGGCAAAGAACAAAAAGTCAAAAGCCAATTTTAGACTTTAAAAATTTACGACATTCTTGATCGATCATATTGGTTTTTGTTTACACCATTGTTTGCGGGTAAAACACAAGGTATCCGATCCCAAATCCAACAAGTTTAGCATCCATTTTGGACGGATACTTTCTTTTCATCGTGTTTATTCGAACAATTTTGCTATATAGAGAGAACAAAGTGGCGTCAGTGAGGTGAGTCTAAATGTTAAAGGGGAATTTGAAAGTCAAAACCAAAAAATATTGAATTTGCAGATGGACCCTCCGTACGATTAGTCGAGATTTTTTCAACTGGATTAGACTTGCCCTAACTTTATTATTTGAGGTAAGTAGGAAAAAAAAAATATGTATGCACAGATCTGGATCTGTCACAAAATAGATGGAGACCTCAATCCGATGCAGGTATCATACTAGATTATACATCATAAAATCATAAAACTATTTAGGTTTCTCTCCAACACGGATATTCAATGGTCTTTGTACCGGTGTGGATTTTTATGATAAGTCTTTGCATCCAAGCTTGCAGTTTGTTTTAAACACAAAGGGCAAAGTTAACGTGTAAAGAGTTTATTTCGAACTAATACGCAATGTAGTCATAGTGGTAAGATTCGTTGCGGATTGTGTAATCTCCCTCCTTTGGGTCGAGCGTGACTTTAGCTCGAGCTTGAGCTTGACGGTCATTCTTCAGCCTCTCCAATTCGATACCGATCAGCTTCTTCCATCGTGGTAGCCATTTTTCTGATCTTCTTCAAAATCTCATTTCGACGGGTCTTCGTGAAAAACTTCATCTCGTAGAAGTTCGAATGCGAGCTAAATTAAAAGATAAGGGATGTAAAAACCAATTTGTACTTACCTTTGGGCCTGATTCCACCCCTCTTCAACGTCTCTGCTATCAGCGTTACTGAGTCCAACACGAAGAATCGCGACTAGCAAATTGCTCTTTGCCAAATGAGACTTAAGCAGGATGCCATAATACTTTAAAAAGTACACCTTGACCCAAATTGACGCCGCACCCCAAGCTTTCTCTGAAAACTGCACGACGTCTGGCGGATTCTTGTTGGAGTACTCTTCGGCTTTTTCGAGGAACTTGTCGAAGTCATACTGCTCGTGACGGGACTGAAATTGAGAATTGTGAAAGAATTGAGTACAAATTCTTACGTTGACATCGAAATCATCCAAATCTTCACATGCTCCTCCTGGCAACAATCCAACAAACTCGCTATACTGCTCCTCCCTAACGATAATCACGAACACGCCATTGACAAGAATCTTCTTCGACATCTTGAGCGAACTGAAAAAGCGAGAATGAGCGTCAAATAAGGTCAAATAAAGTAAAAAAAAAGTAACGTCCTAACGAAAACGAGATCTAGCAAAAGCAATGATAAAGCTTTCGTGATAGGGAGAGGCAAGGTAATAAAATTTGAGGATTCACATTAAGAGACTAAGGACTTTAACAAGAAAATAGATTGCTTTCCTAACTGGGCAATAGAAGACACGAATAACTACAAACAAAAAATAAAAAGCGCCAAAACTTCGAGAAACAGTTGACTCACATTGCCATTTGTTTTCGTGAGAATTTTCAAAAAAACATTTGTTTTTGGACAGTTTATCCACCGCGCGCTAGAAGTGGAATTCCATACAGAAGCTTATGTATGGGCATATTTTTACTTAATTTATGCTCAAAAATCTGCAAAGCGCCAGAGTGCGCCAGAAAAGCCTAATATATACTACTGATATTCAATGATCTTTGTACCGGTGTGGATTTTAATGAGCCTCTGCATCCAAGCTTGCAGATTGTTTTAAACACAAAGGGTAAAGTTAACGAGTAAACCTTTAGATCTCAAAAGCTTTGAAAATAAATTTTTATTGTCTTTCCACAATAAATCAGCATAATCAACAACAAGTAACGTAACAATAACAATAAAAATAACAGATTGACAACAAGTGCAACAATCAACTTCAAAAAACACTAAATTAAATAAAGATCGTCTTAAACGACTATAACAATGCGTTTTTCGCCCACTGTATGACGGATGCATTCTTAACCATAAGTTGATCAAGTTCAGCCCAAGCCTAAATAAATCATTCATACATGCGCCAAATCCATTTAGTACCTCATCTTGCGTTCTGCTTAATTCCTCCAGTATTTCGGTCATCTCAGGACTTTCATCATCCTTTTTCCAAAACACAGATCTAAAAAGTATGGAAAGTTTATGAGATCAATAGTGCCTTGCCTATGGATTTTCATAGCAGAAGCCAGGTATGCTTGCACGAGATCGAAATTTTTACGCGTCTTCAGTACCTAAAATGCTTTGCACTATAAATGAACAAATAATACACCTCTAACAACATCTTCGTGAACTGCGGCAATATCTCAGGAGATAGCGTCTTTCTCGGGTCTTTCTTTACGAGTTTTTTTTTTGAGAAAAAGGAATGGAAGGGCAAAGAGGAAGAGGGGCGGTAACGTCTGCTTCTGCTAACGATAAACAAAGCACAAATAAATAAAATAGTGAATCACAAGCTTCATCTCATTTCAATGAAAACTCACCTCATCCGTATCTCGCTCTTCTTGTCTCAAATCCGGTTGATAATTATCGAAAAGTGCAATCATTTTTCGATATGTTTCTTTTTGAAGTAAATCTTCATTTACAAAAGAAAACAATCTGCAAACTTGAAATCATTCAAAGGTTGAAAATTTTTCACGTTTCATCAGCCCCATCTCCACCTAACCTATTTTGTTCAGTTTTTCAAACAGATATTGGCGGATTCGGAAAGGCCGTAAAAAACCGAACAAGATAGGATAGATCTTGTTTTGAAATTCCCTCTTAAGTTGGCGATCTTGTCTAGTAAGGCAAACAAGTCCTTGACGCAAAACTAACTTGGTAATTCGGCTTTCGAACTTACATAGCTTATCAATAAAAATAAAATAACAAATGAAATTGTTGCAAGGAGAAATTTTTGATGTCTCATTCAATCAATGATGGAGAAAGACGTTTTTTGAGTGGAAAAGTTGGAGACATCTGAGAGAAGAAAAGGGAAAAGATTTGATGGAGAGATTGGCTGGGGAAGGGAATTTTGGTTTGCTTGACTTGGAAATAACATCAAGTGTATGTGAAAATGTTCAAAAGTTTATTTTTACATTGTCTTTTGAATTAAATAGATTTTCCTTCACGAACATCCACAGCAATTTCTCACCCAATCCCAGTAAACGTTCGTTCGCTCAGCTTGACAACCGTAAAGTCCTGAAAGCACTGATTTCTATAGTTATTGAACTTTTTAACATCTTTATCATACAATATTTTTTTGCTTTCTTGAAATTTGTGTAAACAAACCGCCATTGTGAATTCTCGATAGTTGTTCACACTCTCCATATCCGTAATTCGAACAGAAACCACGATAACGAGCGAAATAGTTCTGAACACAGTTTAGAGCACAATTGTAGTCATCAGAACATCTGAAATGGAAACATTTTAAAGTTTAAATTTTGATTTTCTCATTATGATGAAATGATTAGAATCACTACGATCTTTCCCACCTTTTCCAAGCCTCCTCTGTCGATTCCCCGTCTTGTTTTCCTGGTTGTCCACAGTCTTGATAATAAGGAAGCTTTATCTACAAAAAAAATTGATTCCTTGTATTAAAACAAAATTAAAAACTTGAAAATAGCCACAGGATAAAGATCCCATATCTTCTCGACATCCAATTGGTTGACAATTTGATTCATGTTGACAGATACAATCGATACACGATCCTGCTGCTGTGGTACCTGAAGATTATTATGGTACAACAGCTGTTGGACTACTGTAGACTACTGAAGACTTGAAAGAAACTGTGGTTTATATATTAGATATTGATATTAGAAACCAACCAAGCACAGAAGCGATAACGATCAAAGCAAACATCTTGCTGAAGCCCTAAATCACAATATTTAGCCTCAATCACAATATTTAGCCTCAATCTCAATATTTATACTTCTTTATAAACAATCACTCATATCTAATCTCCTCTTTTATCCACAAATTTCCTTGTTTTCAATGAGTCAATGTTTAAACAAAAAGCTATTATGATTCAAATAAAATGGATAAATAAAATGGATAAATTTTTTTACTTTGAATAATAAATTTGATGCTGAAATGAAATTCATAAGGAAAAACAATGATTACTTGGCTAAATTTCGAAAAAACATGCCGACAAAATGAAATGTCCTTGTGAAGGCTGTTGAAAAGAGAAATCGCTTTTCTCAAATCATTGAGCAAAAGAGATCAAAGTAGAACTAATATTAACCTACAAAATCGAAAGATTTAACGAAATTTAACCAACGATGAAGCCAATTTGAAGCTCTGCAATGATTTCAAGGACTTATTTTGATCAAACCTTGTTGATCTTGTTGATCTTGTTGGGTTTATATCAACAAAAGTTTTTGACAAACTCAGAAAAACAATCGATTTGCTATTCGGAGAGAAGATAAGCCCTTTCAGCCATTCCAGTATTTTCAAAAATGAATTTCACAGAAGAACTTCATTTTCTGAAACAAAGCTTTACAATTTCCCTCTCGAATCTCATCGGTTTCATTGTCCATTTTTTTCTGTATTTGATCAACATTCGAAAAGAAGCAAAAGTGGAACAAGTTTTTTATATATTTCATTCATTCAACATTTGCAGCATGTCAAACCGACAAAGGAACCCCTTTTACTGATCAGCGCCACAAAACTTTCCGCTAAAATTCGAGAACGAAAAGTTTTAAAATGTTTTTTTACAGAAATACTTCTTTTTAGATTACTTGCAAAGAGATTATTGATCTTTACATTAAAAGGATTGAAACGGTAAAGCTTAAAGTGTTAATCTTACCATTTCATTAAGGTAAATCCAATAATCAATGCTGTCGTCGAATTGTACAAAGAGAAAGCTCTTCAAAAAGCTGAAGAAGTCGATGAATATCTTGAGAAATGTGATCAAAATGAATTGAATCAAGTTGGGTCAAACAAAACAAAAAAAAACTTGATAAATCCAAAACAGAGATTTAGTTAGCGTTTTCAAAACCGCTTCTCGGAATTCCATTCACTTGTAAAGATATGTTCGATGTTAAAGGTAGATCTAAAACTTGGATTTTTGGAAAAGATTGGTCACTCTTTCTATATTCTTAGATTTAAACGTTTAAGACACAAAAACAACTCTTGGAAACTGGTGGAAAAAGGAAAACGTTTCAACGACGACTCATCTAGTCATTCAAAGGTTTACTTTTCTATATGTCGATTGTAATCAAAAGTTTAACTGTGTTTTTACTTGAAATAATTAAGTAAAGTAAAATAATGACTTAAACTTTCCATAGCATATCTTATAACATTAGAATGATTGACGCTGGAGCGATACTCATTGCAAAAACAACAACTTCAGAGGATTGTATGTGGATTGAATCATCGAATCCATTAAATGGAACAACTGGAAATCCATATGATACAAGGTTATTGGATTTTTGAGATTAATTTGTAGAAACTTTAGAAAAAATGCGGGTGGCTCAAGTGGTGGTGAAGGAGCGCTTATTGCAGCAGCTGGATCATTGGTCAGCTTTAACAGATCTATATAAAAAGCTTTTATCCAAAAAAACATCAAAAATGAAGCTAGGCATTGGCTCGGATTTTGCTGGCAGTATTCGAATTCCGGCAGCTCTCAATGGAGTCTATGGATTGAAGACAACATCGGGTGAGGTTAAGAGTAAAGGAAAGATTGATTGGAGATTGGATTGGACCATGTTGGAATTGGACCATGTTGGAATTGGACCATGTTGGAAAGACTGAATGGCTTAGCTTTCATTAATTGACAAATAGTACTCTAGCTTGAAAAAGATTGAACAATTTCAGGTGTTCTTCCTCTGTCCGAATTCCTCGACAATCCCGTTGAGTCAAAAATGGCCGTCTTTGGTCCAATCGCCCGTTTCCCTGAGGATCTAAACCTTGTTTTAAAAGTTTTCTAATAAATTAGCAATCATATTCAAAATATTCAGCTATTCACAAAAGAATTATCAAATCAAAATCGACGAGTGAAAACAATTCACATTCCCACTTTCGCCCGAGTTCCATGGATGGAACCTTATTCAATTGAAGCTCAAGAGAGCTCAAGATCGGTGAATTTCATTTGAATAAAGTTTATAGTTCGTTTTAGATTGTAACAATCCTCCAAACGGCCTTCAATGCGAATATTTCTTACATAAATCTATCAAAAATCCAATCAAAATATATCGACATTTTGGTTGCATATTTCAACGATTATCCATTAAAAAACAAAAATCGAAAAGCCACATTAGCTGGATTCTATGAAGAACATGTAAAATCTTTCAAAAAAAGATTAAATTTTCAAAGAGTTTCAGGAGAAATTTCACTGGATAACCGAGATCCCAAATTGGTTTTTTGGAAAATCACGACACTCGTTGGGATCAATTTTTGATTATCATGCTCTTGATCGAATGTATGGTGATGAAAAAAAGAATGAGGTTAAGAAATTGATAAATCGTTTCTATTTGACAGAAAATTTTCAGCTAATCACTTGTGTTTCCGAGTTTCGTGCGGATTTCGATAAAATTCTCGGCGAAGACTCGATCATTGTTCATCCGACTTGGCCTCGAGGAGCCGCATTTCATCATGGAGAAATACCGTATTTCAATTACATTCACACGGGTGGGAAAAATCTTTGTAGACAAGTTGAAACTATCGAAAAGAACAGACTAAACAAGAATTTTGCTCACTTTTCAGGAATCTACAACATTTTTAATCTCCCAGTCGTCGCTTTGCCGTACGGCGTTGACAATGAAGGAATGCCGCTTTCTGTATCGGTGAGAATTGGCTATTACTGTGATATTGATGAAGAAGACTATGAACTCTTAGATATATTGCAGATTATTGGACCTAATGGCTCTGATGGTTGGCTGGTTGAACTCGCTGAGATGATTGAGCGAGAAAAAGAAGCTCATAAATGACAGATTTGTAACAAAAACATTTGTCAGTCCTTTTTGCGGTGGGCAATTTAAGGTTTTTCTTATTATATTTTGAGTTAATTTTGGTATAATTTAACGCACAATTTTATTCTCCATCGAATGATAATGAAAATATTCAAAATCGAAGGGCTAGTGCTGAGAAAAGCCTTAAATTTCCAACGGTAAAGCACCGACAAATGTTTTTCGTTACAAATCTAATAAATGATATTTAAATAATGTTTATTGAAGTTGTCTGAAGTAAATAGTTGTCTGAACTTGATTTATTGAACACATTACAGTAGAGCTTCTTTAATACGATCCCTAAAATTCCATTTCGTTCATTCACAGCTCCAAACTTACCAAACTTTCTCCGAAGAAGCGAATAAATGTTCTGGATGGGGGAAACCGTTGAATGGCGCTTCATAAACAGTTCTAAAGATTATCTTTTTCTTCATTTACTAGAGAATATTAAACGTGTATGCTCCCTTGAAATCATAGTAAATCCAATCACCGCAAACCAAACGTTCCATCATTTTGTTCGTCTAAAAAATTGAAGGTGTTAGGGAAACTTTGGACTAATCCACTTGCGTAATTAAATCGGGTTAAATAAATCAAGTTTTACAAGGAAAACCTACCGTAAATACTGTCCCACCCCCTCGTACAGTCGCGTAGTCGCAAAATATTTAAAGTTTTTTAATATTTAATTTTTTTCAAAGCGCCCATACTTTCAAAAAATGCGTCTTTGGTATCAAAAAATAGCTGAAATTCAGGGCTATTTTTTGATACCTAAGCGCGCATTGTAGCATAAAGCAGTGTCGAGAAAAAACTCGTTCAAAGCTAGACTACACAACACTCCGCACCGTCATTATGGGGGTGGGGTACTATTACAGTATTTACGGTATAGCTTTTTCCTATAAAACCCATATATTGATAGTGTCATGAACTAGCACTGACATTAGCTTTTAACATTTTATAAACTTATAGTGTCATGACCAGTATTAGTTCTAGACTCATTGACCAGTTTTCTTCGTCTCCTCCGTTTCTGACCTCAATTTCATCCTTCGAATCACAAGTTGGTCCCCAAATTCTTGACACGAATTGCTCACCACCTTTTGGCTAAACAAAAAGTCTAACAATTCCCAAAGAAATCTCACAAATAGCGGTCGTCCCTCTGAGTTCAAATATCCATACCAACAACAAACAAATGTGCCGAAAACAGATGAAGTTATATAATACTCGATTCCTCGTTTATCCTTATCGGCGGCTATAAGGAAATTTTGTCTACAAAAGTATCAGAAACCCACGATTTCCCGTGATCTTTGCGGCTGAAACCTCCTTTCCGAGTTGCACATTCACACAAATACTTGCACAAGGAGCAACAATGTATCTACAAATGTTAGCTTTTATTGTAAAGGCCTAGTTAGTTATATCTTTGAAACTAGTTACATTTGTAATTTATTCACCTGCCCGGCTCTGCAATGAATCGCAGATCAAGCTCTTCTTTGAGTGCTTCGATTGTCGGCCTGGCTCCAGCAGCACACTAAAGCTAGGTTGAAATTGGAATTGGAATTTGGATCATAAAAATCTTGTTAGATTTGGCTTTAGTTTAGATTTGACTTCTCTTAAATCAGATATTCGAAGAGTGAAACCTCTCTAAATTTCTGATCATCGTATCCATTGAAACCTCCACCAATATCGACGAGTTTCATCTCATGTCCAGCTTCTCGACCCATCAAAATCAACTTCTTTACCTGCCAATGAACAATTTATAATCGGAATTCTTGTTTCAGAGCTAATTTCAGACACTTATACTCTGCAATAATCAGTAACTAACAGCTTGCAGCGCTCTCGGAATCGCCGCTGGATCCTCACAGCCTGTACCGACATGGAAACTGAAATTCTCAGGTACTCTTTTAAGTCTTTAAACTATTTTGAATCAATTTTCAAATATTAACCTGATTCCGTGAATATTTATCCCTTCTTTCGCCCCAATCTTGATAATTTCAGGTGCTTCCTCTTCTGGATCGGCACCAAATTTAGCGCTCAAGTCAGAGATTGATTGGGAACTTGAGGCTGAGATTCGAATGACAGATCTAAAGTTGGAGAATAAGAATACAATAATAGCAAAAAAGTGTGCCAGAAAGGCTATTTTGCTATTTTTCAAAGTAGCTTCATTCAACGCAACTCACTTCGATCCAGGAAATAAACGGCTCTGTTTTAGCAACTCCTCAACTGAATCCACAACCAAGAGTTTCACATCATGCGCTTTAGCAAACTAAACATATAATGCTTAACTCCAGCACAGATCAAGCAGCTAAAATATTTACTTATCAACATTTAAAAGTTTCAGCTTACCAAAATGGACTCTTCTGTTTTGGCGGGATGAGCGAAAATGATCTGTGATGGGCTTGCTCCCAGTTTGATCAACTAAATGTAAAAAATAATTTGTTTTATAGATTCAAACATTCTTAAAGCAATATTTTACCAAATCGATTTCATTCTGACTCGCGCAATCAAACGAGCACCCAAACGCAGTGAGAATTCGCAGAATCACCGGATCGTTATTGGCTTTGGTCGCATAAAATGGCTGAATTTGATTGTTGCATAGATTAGATAGAAAAGTAAAGAAATTCTTTCGCATAGATTATTGATTATCTAGTCAATTTTGTTCCAAACTTATTTAAAAAGCTCAAGCTTGTGAATGCTATTCCTTTCATCGTTTCATTTACCTCAACCATCGGGAATTCCTCTTTCCAAAGCTCAAATCTTTTCACCAAGTGATCCAAGTTATAAAGCATGAAGCCCTTTTTGTTATTCTAGAAATACTTAGACAACTTTAAAATATGAGAACTTACATTTTTGTCTCTGAAACTAGCGATCTTACGGCACAGACTCATGCTCTCGATGCTAGGGAAAATTGCGATCTGAAAAATGAGATTATTTTTGATTAAAGCGTTCCCTAAAAGGTTCAAAAGTATAGTAATCCTTTGAAAACTAGCAATTCTTAACCACGAGACTTGCGGTATATTGGGAAGCTGATCAAAACAGCGCCGTGTACAAACAGCGGGACGGCAAAAATAGCCCCTCCACGGTTAAGTTTCCATGTGTTTCTTATTCCTATTGGATGCAGAAGGAAATTATCTACATTTTGCATACTTTGGGATCATTTAAAACAGAAATGGTGAAAAGTTAACCCAGAACTTCGTTTTTTGGCATTTTCTCATCCCAGATTTGTTCTAAACGGCTCCAAAAAATCAAGCAGATAGCAAATTTTTTTTCTACATCCAATGAAAATAAGAAACACAAATAAACTTAACCGCAAGCGCATTATTTTGGCCGGCACTGTTTGTCCATGGCGTTGTTTTGATCAGCTCCCGTATATTGACTTTGAGCCAAAACGAACCTCTTGATTCTCGAAAACGACTTTCTCTCCATTACAAAAATGGATCCACGAATCTTCAGCCATTTCAACTTCCGAAAAACAAAGATTTGAATAAAAATAACAGTAGAAAGAATTTCTTTTCGTTTTCTCATCTTTCTCACTTATCGATCACAGATCTTTTTTCACTGGCAACTGGTCGTAAAATCCAGTGGCTGATTAGATGAGATTCTGGTTGCTGAAATGCTTATGAGATTGGAAATTATATATAGTTACTTTCTTCAAGAGAAACTCGAAAAAGTTTAGTCATACAAAAAAAAGAAAGTATAAAAATTATAAAAATAAAAAATTTTTCTGAAAAAAAGAAAAAGATGAAAAAAACCTACAATTTTATGAGAATACGATATCGTACAAGAATAGCGCTCTTAGACAAGAGATACTAAATCATTTTCATTTACGGCGTTCTTAAATTGTAAGACTTTGGTAGAATAAGGTGCATTTGGTTAAAATGGATATGAAATTTATTCATGAAAGATTTATCGACAAGGGGTAAAGGCACGAGTACATTGTACTGGTACTCTTTGAAATACCTTGACATGAGTTCCCTTTTGATTGATCCATTCTTTTAAATGTTTCCAAGCTCTCTCCGAACTCACATCAATTCTCCAGTACTCGATTTTGCGTTTCCCGAGATACCATCTCTAAAAGCTCTTTGTAACAGATAATTCAAACAGTATTTTACCTCAAGCTCGTTGAGCAACGAATCGGTGTCAATAACAAAGATTCCTTTCTCGTAGTACTCAATGGGTAACTGGACATTCACATTTACTTTAGCTGCTCATTGTTTACTTACATTGTACTTCAGTTCAGTATTATCTTTCGTTTCAAAGTCGAAATTGAGACAATTCAAATGGACACGAGGGATTTGATGTTTCTGAACAAAAAAGTGATAAAATTTAAACAAACTAGCCTTTACTGGAGCTTTCAATTTTTCATCTGCCAATACACGAGCAACTTTCAATTCGTTAATCAAAAAGTCGATAAGTGCATAACGACGAGTTGTTGACGAAAAGCGTTCCTCCAATGAACCCGAGAGTAGATCAGAAATTCCACAATCTGCATTAACTTTAGAAGCCAAAATTTAGTAAAATTTACCCAATTCAGTCAGAAAGGCGCTAAGTTCATAAAGAAAAGCCTTCGCTTCGTCAAGTGATTGAATAGCAGATGGACTTTCTTGTAACTCATCAAGGACCTAAAACAAATGATAATTTTAACTTGAAATTTAAATACCTTAATTTCTGTCCACAGCGTATGAAGTAATTTGAAGAAATCCAAATGTATCCAAGCCTTGTTCAATGATTGGAGCGAAGTTGTCGTAGCCAAGAATATCTTGTATTCTAAAAGACACCTTTTAAAATCCTAAATTACAAGCCTTACCCTTTCAAATTGTGACAACTGAACGTCGTCGATTTATCTACTTCCATAGAGGATATTTCTAAAAAAAACAATTCTTTTAATTTCTTCGGAAAAAACCCTTGGATTTACCTATTTTACCCCTACCGTGGAAGATGTGGCTACCGCCAACAAAATTCAGGAGCTATTTGTTCAGTTCATTCACACCGGGTAACAGCTTAATTCTATACTAACTTCTTAAAAACTTTAGTAATCCATCTACAAATCATATCAACTGGGACAAGTTCGGCTCAAAACTGGAGTATCTAAGCCTTTCCGAGAAGCCCATAATGAAAACTGGTTTCTACAATTTGGATTGCAAAAGTGTAAACACCTTTTAGATTGGTTCGAACCCAGCTATCGGTTCTGGACTGAAGCGATGAAAAAGTACAGCTACGATTTCATCAGCGGCCAATATTGGAAATAAAGATTCAACTCAAACACAAACCTGAACAAAAAATTGTTTTGTATCCTTGTTCCACAATTGCCAAAATTTGTCTTCCGATTTGTCAACTTCTCTAAATCAAAATACATTAGTTTTAGTTTAAAAAAATAAGTAGTTTACTTTGATGGAATTTTGAAAGCAATCGTCTCGTAAGGCTCAGCGGCAAAAAGAAGATATTGATATTTCTTCTCAGGTGGATGAACCTTCTGTTCGTAGGCAGACATGAACCTAGAAAACAGGCCATTGCAGCAAAACCAAACAAAAAACCTGTGTCGAGGAACGACTCCGTCTGATGCTTCGGGATAGTCAATTTGAAAGAGTAATGCAAGTTGTCCAGTTTGTGGATCACGCTCACGAGTCACCTAAATTAGTTAGTTTACAAAAATATATGCACAAATAAACTTTCTAACACTCTTGTTCTCGCTAATACAAAAATCTCTAACTAAATAGCTTAACTAACCTTGTAACCAGGACGTCCAATCTTCACAAATCGCTTGATATCGACTTTTGCTTGTTGAGGAGCAGGCAAAAACGGTTGTTCCTAAATGGAATTCTATTAAAATCTATTAAAAGAATGAAATTACCGCAGCCTCCTTCGCCGCACGTCGAGCCAGGTTAGCTTGGTGCTTTTTACCCTGGGTGTGAGCCAAGTACGAACCTATAAGTAAAGATTAGAAGTAAAAACTTTTATTTAATACCTTCATTGTTGTGCAGAGTGAGACAAAGTTTGCACTCGTAAGTACCGACATGATTTCGCATAAAATAGGGATCCTTGTTCAAGTCGATTGTTTCAAGGGCAAGTTGTCTAAAATTAGAATTTGCAGATGAACCCTCCGTACGATAAGTCGATATTTTTTCAACTGGATTAGACTTGCCCTAACTTTATTATTTGAGGTAAGTAGAAGAAATCCATTGTCGTTAAATATGTATGAACAGATCTGGATCTGTCACAAAATAGATGGAGATCTCAATCCGATGCAGGTATCATACTATTAGGTTGATGCATAAGTCTTTTCGTTTTTTTCGTACTTCTGTTAAAAAGTAACAAATTCACGAATTAATCTATAGTTTGCTCTATAAAAAAAGTGTTTTTTTGTTCAATTTCCATCTTTTTAAATCAATTTCGGTTCACTTTCAAGCAAATTCGAGAGTGAAAGACGCCTTGTTCGTAAAAATCTATAAAAAACTACGGAAAAATTGGCTGAATGAATTTCTCTGAAATTTTGGCGAAATATCAAACGTTTTTTTCTCTATCTTTTATCTATTGACACGAAGATAGGTTTTCTTTAGCTAAGGTGTCTAAACCGCATCATCGAGTTAGCCCTTTTTGACTACCCGACTTCATACTCTCAAGAAAATCCAGGCATTAAATATTTTTAAACCCGTTTTAATGTTATTTTGCAGAAAAATAATTGGTTTTTCTAATGAAATCAACCGTAGTTTAATTCGTGCATTTGTTGGCTTGAAACGGCAGACGAAAAGGAACGAAAAGACTTATGCATTAACCTAATAGATTATACATCTTCATAAACTATTTATTGGGTTGGGGAGAATGAGTCGGCGCCGAAAATCAAAAAAATGTCTAAAACTTCTATTCGACTTCGTCAAATAATATGCGTTTGATATTAATAGAATGGTTAACTAATTCTCTACAAAATAACATTTAAAAGAAAATTCAAACAGCGCCTCCGCTCAAGAAAAAGCCATTTTTTCACAAAAACTACAAACTGTCATCTAGAAAAAACCATTGGTGGGATCTTCCTGCAAATTTGGCAACTTAAGTAATTGAATGTGTTCTATCTTTTTTATATAAACACCAAAGAAGGTTTATGTGAAAGAAACTGTTCAAATGATGAGTCGGACTCTTTGCCATTTTAACCAGCTGCGTTTGGAAGTTCATAAACTCCACGAAAGAAAAGCTTTGTGGAATCTCTCAAAAGTCATTTTGTAGAGAAATAGCGGATCCTTTTGATGAAACCAAACGTATGTTTAAAAAAGGCTTTATGTGTGCAAAAAGTCCCTTTAAAGTTTGGCGCCGACTCATTCTCCCCAACCCAATACGTTTCTCTCCAACACGGATATTCAATGGTCTTTGTACCGGTATGGATTTTAATGATAAGCCTTTGCATCCAAGCTTGCAGATTGTTTTAAACACAAAGGGTAAAGTTAACGGGTAAACAATTTATTCGCAACGCTAATACGCAACATGGTCATAGTTGTAAGTTGCCGAGTTGCCGATCTTGTAAGCTGCTTCCTCAACAGTGGCGATATTGACCGACGTTATGTTCTGCAATTCGGTACGGACGGCGTACACATCGGCTTTTTCAATCGTGGCAGCCATTTCCTTAATGGACTTCAACAGCGCTTCCCGAACGCCCTTCCTCATAAACATCATGTCGTAGAGGTCCGTGTGCCACCTAAATTAAAAGATAAGTCATTTAAACGCCAATTTGTACTTACCTTTCGACCTCTGTCCAGACGTCTACAACTTCTACGGTTTGACGGCCATTGAGTCCAGCATAAATCGCCCTCAACAAATCGCTCCTTGCCGAAGGAGATCTAACCAGGATGGCCAAATGCTTCAAAAAGAACACCTTCACGCAAATTGACGTTGCTTCCCAAGCCTTTTCGGAAAATTTCTCGAAGTCTGGCGGATTATTGTCCGAGTACTCCTTGGCCTTTTCGATGAGCTCGTTGAAGTCGTACGGCTCGTGAATCACCTGAAATTGAGAATTGTGAAAGAACTGAGTACAAATTCTTACCGTGCTCTGCAAATCTTCCAAATCTTCGACTTGAACTCCATCTTTGAACTTTCCAACCAAATCGCCAAAGTCCTCCTTCTTAACGATAACCTCGATGCCATTGACAAGAATCTTCTTGGTCATCTCCGTCATCTTGAGCGAACTGAAAAAGCGAGAGTGAGCGTCAAATAAAGTAAAAAAGTAACATCCTAAGGAAAACGAGATCTAGCAATAGCAAAAGCAATGATAAAGCTTTCGTGATAGGGAGAGGCAAGAGAATAAAATTTGAGGGTTCACATTAAGAGAGACTAAGGGGGAGGGACTTTAACAAGAAAATAGATTGCTTTTCTATCCATAACAACCTTTATATAATCCCCGGTTGGAGACCACTGCTAGTATTATCTAAAAAAGGTTCACCCCATCGATCAAAGAATACAGTGAGAGTGAAAAAAAACAGCAAAAATAAAATCCTAGAGATTCGAGGCAAATAAAGGGGAGAACAAGTCCAAATGCGTGTGCCAGAGGGTCAACGGGGGCAATGCAAGTTGGTCAAGTTCAGCCCAAGCCTAAATAAATCATTCATACATGCGCAAAATTCATTTAGTACCTCGTCTTGCGTTCGACTTAATTCCTCCAGTATTTCGGTCATCTCAGGACTTTCATCATCCTTTTTCCAAAATACAGATCTAAAAAGTATGGAAAGTTTATGAGATCAATAGTGCCTTGCCTATGGATTTTCATAGCAGAAGCCAGGTATGCTTGCCCGAGATCGAAATTTTTACGCGTCTTCAGTACCTAAAATGCTTTGCACTATAAATGAACAAATAATACACATCTAACAACATCTTCGTGAACTGCGGCAATATCTCAGGAGATAGCGTTCGAATCTTCTTGCTTCCAATATCTTTCGCTCCTCTTTTTCGTCGTTTCTAATAAATTTATACTGAAGCTGTTCACAAAAGCACATACCGTTATCCATTTTTTCAAATTCGAAGCCTTCAAGTGTTTGAGTTGAAGAAAGAAAGAATGGAGCTTGTTTGGGTTTCTGAAAAAGAAAATAACAGATCAAACGACTTGACTCAACCTTCGGCGGCTCGATTGGTTTGTTCCGCTCTCGAATAATCGATAGATCCGGTAAATTAGCTCATCGTGCCAAGCCCGAATAAGTAACCAAAGAAGTATCAAGCTAAAGGTGTGCCATTTATGGTTGTAATGGAATGATCACGCTTAAAACTGCAGATTGTTTCGTCTTGTTTAATATCATGTAGCACAATTCTTCCGTTTGCAAGTCCAACAGAAATCACGTCCAATGCAGGGGTCGCCTAGAAATTTACAATACGATATTTTGAATAAAGAATTAGTAGCATTCTTCCAACTTGAGCACAAAATCTACCTTAGGAACTGTTATGGGAGCATCAAATTTGCTTTGGAATTCGTGAATCAATTTTCCAGTGCGAATATTATACAATCGTAATTCTCCATTATCGCCGCCAAGCGAACCTAAATAAGATTTTTAAAAAGCAAATAAAAGTCGTTTAAACCTTGTTCATGTAAGTAGGAGGATGAACAATCCCCGTAACATTGAAATGATGCGAACCTTCCAGGTGTAACTGCTACAAAATAGAAACGAATATTGTTTAACAATTTTTCTTACCTTTGTCCCTTCTTCCACATCAACAACAATAATACCGTTGTGTTCATCAATCACAACAATTTGTGAACCAAAAAGTAGACAATGTTTTGGTTGGCTTCCAATTTCAATCCATCTCGTAATGTCACGACAGAAGGGAATCACTCCAATTCGCGTCCCAGCAACTCCATAAATCCCACTAAATTTTATTTTTTAATGAGAAAGTAATAAAAAAATACACTTGGTTGCACATCACATGCGTAACTTTCTCCGGAAATGTATCGGAAATAGCTGCCAATCGAAGTTTCTCGGCGCGATAGTGAAGAACCTCAAAATTTCAGATTGCAGACATGGAAAAATCCCAAGATATTAAACTTTTCATATTTACTCACCACATTATCGACGGCACAAACAAGCGAAGTGAAGCGTCATGTGCCCGGTTGCTTGCGGAAGGACGGTTTCACTTCGTTTTTCACATTCCACTTAACTAGGAACATAGTTTAATTCCAGGACTAAAACTTCAGCCAAATAATCGCAGACAATCATACTATACAAAAACAATTTACCTAAAGTAACAAAATTCTAAAGTTTAAACTAAAATAACCCTATTAATGTTCGCTCACATAGTTATAAAAAAATTTGTCGATTTAAAGTTGACTTTTGTTCATCTTCCACCAAGATTTGACGAAAGACCATGTGCGCTAGTTTTTCCTGGAAAGAACAATATGGGGGGGCAAATATAAATCACCGAAACCTCCGATTTCAGTCCACTCGGTAATGCAATCTTCCCCTCAACTGACCCCAAATCGTATTTACGTGTCCGATATTTGACTTATAAATGGATATGAAATTTATTCATGAAAGATTTATCGACAAGGGGTAAAGGCACGAGTATGGCCAGAGACTGGACATTCAATTTCATGAAAATAAAACACTAATGAAATCACAATTGCAATTTCTATGCACTAATGCACTAAGAAAAGCTAAAATAATAAACTTTTCTTAATTTTCTAACCAAAACTATTCTTTGATGCAATGAAAAATCCGCCTTTTGCTTTAAGATACAACCATTGATTCGCTTGATTCTTGACGGCTCCCGTTACAACGAATCCGAGCTGGGTTTTCTGCAAATCATAGTTGGATTGAGCTGCTTTGATTGACTATGTGCCTACGGACGTACTGTACATAATATTGGTACGTACTGACGTACTTGCATAGTACTGGCACGTACTGACGTGTCGTACATCGTACTGGTACTCTTTGAAATACCTTGACATGAGTTCCCTTTTGATTGATCCATTCTTTTAAATGTTTCCAAGCTCTCTCCGAATTCACATCAATTCTCCAGTACTCGATTTTGCGTTTCCCGAGATACCATCTCTAAAAGCTCTTTGTAACAGATAATTCAAACAGTATTTTACCTCAAGCTCGTTAAGCAACGAGTCGGTGTCAATAACAAAGATCCCTTTCTCGTAGTACTCAATGGGTAACTGGACATTCACATTTACTTTAGCTGCTCATTGTTTACTTACATTGTACTTCAGTTCAGTATTATCTTTCGTCTCAAAGTCGAAATTGAGACGATTCAAATGGACACGAGGGATTTGATGTTTCTGAACAAAGCCTGATTGATTTAGATTGATTTTCAAATATCAGATTTCTCATACTTACCTCCAAACACATCAGCAAATCCCTTTTGATCACTTTATCCGATCGCCCATTACAATTCGCTGTCACATTCACCAGCTTGAAACTGATTATTGGAGAGAAAAATTCGAGAACACTGAAATGTTTGAGTCTTACAGATGTATTTCTTATTTCCCAACTTACTCTTTCCATTCCCAAAACACTAAAGTCGATCCAAAAGTGACTTCGTTCAGTTCAAAGTGCTAAATTAGCTTAAAAAATGAGTTAATCTTTAAAAAAAACACCTTAATTGCTGGCTGCCAAGTAAACACAGGCTCGAATTTTGGAAAAAATTTGCTAAGAAGATCGTCGAGATTGATCTGAAAGCGTTAAATTTTACTAGATAAACTTTGAACCAACTCCTTTCGCTGAAAAATAGTCAATCTGTTGGTGGAGGTATTTTTTCGCTCTGAAAGCCACACTGATTGATGGATCGGTTGAATAGACACGATGAACGTCAGAGGATTCCTCAAAGAGATTCATAAATGTAAGTTTTTTTCGTTAATGTTCTCAAGCTTGTGTTGTTCAGTTCAGCTTATCTCAAACCCTCACCGATTCTTTGCTTATCAAATAATCCTCATCAACCCGTTGTCCATTCATAAACAAGGTTTGACTGTGTGGAAGCTGAAAATAAACAGTTCACTGCACCAAAATTCATTTCATTACCGCGTTCTTTTGCGCACCGTCTGCGAATATCAAAATCTGACAATCTTTTTGAAGATCTTGAACTTGAAGAACATAATGCCCTCGGTCGCCAATGTTTTGTCTTTTATATTCGATCTTCACCAATTTGTACTTCCGATTGAAATAGCAATTCTTGTAGTTTTTGTAGAAATCGTGGAATCGTCTACAAGCTCGTGTAGTCTAAATAATATATTTAATCATTTTAAAACAAATCCGTGTTAAAGAAACGCTAGCCAACCTTGATTAACGATCGAAAGTCAAGATTCTCAAATATTCGGACCAAAATCTCATTTGGAAGTTGGAGAAATGATGGATTTATGGAAGAATTTGAATCTGCCATTCTAAATTGAAAGACATTAGGAGATTTGGTTTTCTAAGCTGAAATAAAGTGTGGAATGAGATCGATTACGTAGGATAAATGTTTGAATTGTTGTGGAAGTGGGATGTGGTTTGGAGCATTGAGAGCAAAAGAAAGAAGGGGAAAGGGTAACTGAACACAGAGGAGAGGGGTGCATTGGAGGGAAATACGATTTGATTTCCTAAGCTAAAATAACCATCGAAAAATCTCATTCAGATTCCAAAGAAAACCGTTGGAAATGAAAATTGCTATTTTAAGCCAAAACTTTCTAAAGATTCTTTAATTATGACTACTGTATGGCAAATCAATGAAAATATAGAAAAACAAATTGGTAATCAATTATAAATGCGAAGAATGAAGCAATTTTAGGGGAGGGGGGGAGAACGCATTACGCATCCTCTAGTTATACAGACACTACAAAAGACTTTACAACTTTAACAGGTGTAATCTGGTGCTAGTTTTTAAAATTATACGACATTAGTTCCACAGAAGAAAACGTACAAATAAGCAAACTTAATATACCGTAAATGCTGTATTAGAATGACACCCCGCTGACCCCTCGAAATCTTGAATTTAGACCCCTTTGTGGGGGTTCTATAGATAGATCTAGACCTAAAACCTATTAACATTTTATCGGCAGTAAAATTTAAAAAGCTATTTTTGGAAAAGTATAAAAATACCAAGGTAATACTACAAACTATACTGTTTTAAATAAAAAAGATGAAGGCATAAAAATAGAATTGATTAAAGTTCAAAAAGATGAGAATAATAATGAGTTAAACGCTCCAAAGCAAAATAAAACTAAAACGCATAGAAAAAGTAAACCGAAATGAAGCAAAAAGAATAAAGAATTTTTAAATTCATTAACCAATGATTTAGCTAATAAAATTGAATTAATCAAAGAAAGTCAACACTTCTTGAATGCATTAAAAACTTAAAAAATAAAGATACTTAATATTTAATAGTTTTAATTCTTTCATATTCAACTCAATGAATAGGTTAATGTCATCAAATTCAATTAAATTACTATTAGAATCTACTAATCTTAAAATAAGCTTATTTGGTCTGCTTGAGATTTTATGATAGATAATTTGTTTTGGTTCCACACTTATTTCTTTATTATTAAGTCTAAATCTGTAAATTGTATTAATCTTTTTATCGTTAGTATAAGAGTCATCTATCAAGTTACACCAAACAAAAATATGTCCAATAGTTTTTAGAGTATACGTATTTTCGGAAATATGCTTACCGGTTATTATAAGTTCTTCTTTATTATTTATTAATTATTATGCATTATTATTTTTGTCAACTTCATTAATAATTGTTTCAATTTATTGTTAATTTTTAAAATTCCATCCAATTTCACCACTCCTATTTCATAATTCCTTTCCAAAAACTCCTATCCAAAAAATTCCTATCCAAAAAAACATAATTCCTATCCAAGTGGCACCAGTGAGGTGAGTCTAAATGTTAAAAGGGGAATTTGAAAGATGAGCCAAAATCAAAAAAATGTTGAATTTGCAGATGGACCCTCCGTACGATAAGTCGATATTTTTTCAACTGGATTAGACTTGCTCTAACTTTATTATTTGAGGTAAGTAGGAAAAATCCATTGTCGTTAAATATGTATGCACAGATCTGGATCTGTCACAAAATAGATGTAGACCTCAATCCGATGCAGGTATCATACTAGATCATACATCTTCATAAAACTATTTAGGTTTCTCTCCAACACGGATATTCAATGGTCTTTGTACCAGTGTGGATTTTAATGATAAGCCTTTGCATCCAAGCCTGCAGATTGTTTTAAACACAAAGGGTAAAATTTACGGGTAAACCTTTAGATCTCAAAAGCTTTGAAAATAAATTTTTATTGTCTTTCCACAATAAATCAGCATAATCAACAACAAGTAACGTAACAATAAAAATCACAAATTGACCACAAATGTTTCATAATCCCTATCCAAAAATTCTTGTGAAAATGAATATTCAAAATTGGACTCGCTAGAGGTTAAATTTAAATTGAAGTACACCATTTATAAGGAATAAAAACCTACAAAATTTCAAAGTTTACAAATCCCTTAAAATCCAACATTAGAAAGCGTCAACATTCAAAAGCTGAAAACGCTAAAGAAAAAAATAATAATGAAATTACTGAGAAGAGTTTATTCCAAACTAATACGCAATACGGTCATAGGAGTAAGAACATTTGCCGATCTTGCAAGTTTCTTCGTGGGCAGAGGCGATATTGACCGACGTTAAGCTGTTCAATTCGGTACAGATGAGTTCCTTGTTCAATCCTGCTTGTTCAATCGTGGCAGCCATTCCCTTGATCGACTCCAACAGTGCTTCTCGAGCCTCCTTCACCATAAGCTTCACAATGTCATAGAATCTCGAGCGCGAGCTAAATTAAAAGATAAGTCATGTAAACACCAATTAGTACTTACTTTTTGACCTCGGCCCACGCATTTCCAACTTCTATGCTTTGAAGGTCACTGAGTCCAAAATCACGAATCAGGTCCAACAACTTGATCTTTGCCGAAGATGACTTAATAAGGACGCGACAATGTTTCAAAAAAAACTCCTTGACACAAAGTAACGCTGCTCCCCATGCCTTCTCCGAAAATTCGACGACGTCTGGTGGATCTTTGTTGGAGTACTCGTTGGCTTTTTCGATGAGCTCGTTGAAGTCGTACGGCTCGTTAGTCTCCTGGAATTGAGAATTATAAAAGAATTGAGTACAAATTCTTACCGTGCCCTGCAAATCCCTGACCTCAACTCCATCACTCTCCATCAGTTTTAACATCTTCCACGCCTCCTCAAAGTCCTCCTCCTGAACGCTGACCACGATGCCATTGAGACCAATCTTCCTCGACATCTTGAGCGAACTGAAAAAGCGAGAATGAGCGTCAAATAAAGTCAAATAAAGTAAAAAATGTAACATACTAACGTAAACAAGATCTAGCAAAAGCAATGATAAAGCTTTCGTGATAGGGAGAGGCAAGAGAATAAAATTTGAGGGTTCACATTAAGAGAGACTAAGGGGAAGGGACTTTAGCAAGAAAATAGATTGCTTTCCTATCCATAACAACCTTTATATAATCCTCGGTTGGAGACCACTGCTAGTCTTATCTAAAAAGGTTCACCCGATTAATCAAAAAATACAGTGAGAGTGAAAAAAAATAGCAAAAAGAAAATCCTAGAATTCGAGGCAAATAAAGGGGAGAACAAGTCCAAATGCATGTGCCAGGGGGTCAACGGGGGCAATGCAAAACATGTTGAAACAAGAAAAACCGACAGTTTGTTTACGATTTTGCAGATGGTGCCACAGTTGAGCTTTTTGTGGAGCAAAAAGAATGACCGAAAAAGAAAGTGCTGCGCGCAATTGAATGTCTTAACATTCAGCACGATCGAATGTTAGTACAGTAAGCTTTTGTGACGGAAATTTGTGCCTGACTGAATATCTTTTTGCAAAAAATCATATTTATAATGAAATTTTTTTAGATAAATTTAGATAACACCCGGGCAGAGAATTGCAAATATGCAAATTTTAAGCAAACACACTCTTGTTTGATGTCTAGTTGATTTATTTCATCTATCGGCCCCTTTTTTATGTTAGAATCCATTCTTTGCTATGTGGGGAGGAAATATTTAGAATGGAGCTACAAATAGATAGAAAACTGGGCAATAGAAGACACGAATAACCACAAACAAAAAATAAAAAGCGCCTGTTAAGCGCCTCCAAATCCAGAGTCGATCCATTAGCATTTTCGAGGCTCTTACTTCTAAAAATTAAAAGAATCAAATTTTTTTAAAATCAAAGTTTACCTATCTTGACCCCAAACGGGCTTGTAGTCAATAGGCAAAGCGCAAATTGGTACTCGACCAACGAAGTGTAATTTGCTAGCCCACACATATATTGCCTGTTCTCCTTGATGACAAGTTGCCAAAAATTCTCCAGTTTCATTGAAGGATATTCCTGTGCATGGTGTTCCATAAAGAAGAACATCAATCAAAGAGGAAGTTACAAGCTCCCAAACCTAAAAAAAAACAAAATATAATTTACTGTTGTTCGAATAACCCGAATATAATTATCTGTCTCCAGTAAGCAACCATTTACCATTTGCAGAAAATGACATTGAGAGCACCTAAAACTTTTATATAAATAAAATCTAATCAACTCACGTCGTTTCCAACTTGCTTAAATGTGCGGGCAACTTTTCTTGTCAAAGTATCGATCACAGAAACAAAACAAGCTAAAAAACTTTCTCTTATTCAACATTACAAATCATACATTTAGCAGGATCTTCGAGAGCTACAGCTATAAGACTGTTATTTCGACATGAAACCATCTTTGTGATAGATCCTTTAGCCTTCATACGAGTCTTCATTCGACCTAAAATACATTAAGTAGAGGTTATGGAGGTTTCAAACAACTCATACCTGTTATTCACGTTATTCACGAATACAAAGATTAAAACTTACCGCAATCTCAATGACCGGTTCCAATCGAATACTATCCAAATCAAGTCCCTTCTTCTTGGCTTTAGCCCTGAATACGTAGTAGGTTGTGAAGATGGCGTGTCAAACCTTGAAATGGTACCATCGTTTCCTAACTTCTGGCGTGTTACTGCATCCATCACGGAATATTTACGAACAGAGCCATCAAGTCCTGCTGACACGACTTCGTGATTACTACTAAAATCGAGTATTGCTTGTAAACACAACTATTAATAGTGCCTGAAAATCACAGTTTTCACAGGCAGCGAATGGCCTTCATTGATGACAAGTTGACGTGGCATTCCATCCATCTAAATTCGAAACAAAATTAGTATAAAAAAAATGCTTGAAAATACCTGATCCAAAACCCAGGTTCTCATCGAATTATCGCTTGACGTTGAAACCATGATTGGCTCTGCAGGCATGAAGTAGAGTGAAGTGACTGCACCTTTGTGAACATTAGCGATCCGACCAACCTGTACAAAAAAGTAAAGCTATTTTTTGCTAAACGGACCAATCCTTTTTCAAGATTCCAAATAGCAATTAATCCTCAGTGTCCGCAGAAGCACAAAGTGAATCGTCGTTTCACAAAAAATACAAACCGTAAAAGCCAAAGCACCGAAGCCAAGGCTGTAATGGAATGGTCATGCTTAAAACTGCAGATTGTTTCGTCTTGTTTAATATCATACACAATTCTTCCGTTTGCAAGTCCAACAGAAACACGTCAATGCAGGGGTCGTCTAGAAATTTACAATACGATATTTTGAATAAAGAATTAGTAGCATTCTTCCAACTTGAGCACAAAATTTACCTCAAGTACTGTTATGGGAGCATCAAATTTGCTTTGGAACTCGTGAATCAATTTTCCAGTGCGAATATTATACAATCGTAATTTCCCATTATCGCCGCCAAGCAAAATCTAAATAAGATTTTTAAAAAGTAAATAAAAGTCGTTTAAACCTTGTTCATGTAAGTAGGAGGATGAACAATCCCCGTAACATTGAAATGATGCGAACCTTCCAGATGTAACTGCTACAAAATAGAAACGAATATTGTTTAACAATCTTTCTTACCTTTGTCCCGTCTTCCACATCAACAACAATAATACTGTTGTGTTCATCAATCACAACAATTTGTGAACCAAAAAGTAGACAATGTTTTGGTCGGCTTCCAATTTCAATCCATCTCGTAATGTCACGACAGAAGGGAATCACTCCAATTCGCGTCCCGGCAACTCCATAAATCCCACTATAATTTAATTTTTAAACAAGAGAGTAATAAAAAAAATACTCTTGGTTGCACATCACATGCGTAACTTTCTCCGGAAATGTATCGGAAATAGCTGCCAATCGAAGTTTCTCCGCGCGATAGTGAAGAACCTCAAAATTTCAGATTTCAGACATGGAAAAATCCCAAGATACTAAACTTTTCATATTTACTCACCACATTATCGACGGCACAAACAAGCGAAGTGAAGCGTCGTGTGCCCGGTTGCTTGCGGAAGGACGGTTTCACTTCGTTGCAAACAAGGCCCATCGACCGATATGGGGCAAATAGGCCCGACTCTGCTCGCCGCATCTAAAATGACTCAATTGAACATTTAGATATTGACGGTGCAAATTTAAAACATCTAAATGTAACATATCAAAAAATATTTAACAAATTATGTCCGCAAATCAAAGAGAGCAACGATCCCCAACCATTGACGCTAACAATCTGAACATGAAAAATAGGCGATGGTAACGTTACCCACATTTCAAACACCCGATTGCACAAACGATTAAAATTGTTTATTCAAAATCCGAGCAGTAAAAATGACTAGGAACATAGTTTAATTCCAGGACTAAAACTTCAGCCAAATAATCGCAGACACGTCTACTATACAAAAACAATTTACCATTCTAAAGTTTAAACTAAAATAACCATATTAATGTTCGCTCACATAGTTATAAAAAAATTGGTCGGTTTAAAGTTGACTTTTGCTCATCTTCCACCAATATTTGACGAAAGACCATGTGCGCTAGTTTTTCCTGAAAAGAACAATATGGGAGGCAAATATAAATCACCGAAACCTCCGGTTTCAGTCCACTCGGCAATGCAATCTTCCCCTCAACTGACCCCAAATCGTATTTACGTGTCCGATATTTGACTTCTAAATGGAATTACACTTATTTCCTAGAACACCTATAGTATACCTGGACTATGTGGCGTAAAGATCAGTAATGCCCTTTTAACCACAAATGAAAGTCGCTCAAAATTCAATGCTCGGAACATGGATCGTTTCGCTTCATCAAGGGCAGCTTCATAAACCAATTCCCTATAAACACTTTAATGAGGCAATGTCTAGAAGAACTTACACAAATTGTCTCGTTTCTTCCTGAAGAGTTTCCATTTTTTCGAGTTCCAGAGTGAACGTCAGCAAGTCGGGCGTGAAATGGCGAGAAATGTCTCCATTTGAAACTTGCTCGGAAACAACCTAAAAAAAAGAAGTAAATCAAGTCATATCCGAAATCCAGGAGTGTTCAAATCAAATATTAGGCCAGATCTGGCTTCATTCTTACCGGTGGAAGAATGCAAAACCTCGTGACATCAAAGAAAAGATCACAGTCTGCACAAGTTTTTAAGCAAATCAGGGTGCCTTGAAAGGTTTTATTGTCAAAATTTTTCAACAAATTTTCTTATACCATTAAGTTTTCCGTCAGTCCAAAAGAAATCGACAGGAAAAGCCAAAAATTGGATTATTTTCATCGAGTTGATATGTTACAGTGCATTTATCGGAAGATTTGACTTGGGAAATGAGAAAGATTTGACACTCAAGCATTTCGATCCCCTTTCGATAAAATGTTTGCCGATTTTCGAATTCAACGATGGATCAATTGCTGTTTGTATTTGATTATTGCAAAATAGAAAACAATTTAGATGATAATCGGGGCAATTATCTTCCATTTGACTTGCGAATTGAATTCGAAGCTTTTTTAAGCGGGGAACTTCTTGTCACAGTGTATGATTTGAACATGGCGCCAATTGGTAACGGGTAAGTTGTGAAGAAAAAGGGAATCTACCTATTATTTTATAGATGGACTCAAAAAGATCCAGTCGATCATCCATTCAATATGACATACACAAATATTAAACAAGTCGAGGTGGGTTTTGGAAGAAGAACAAAGATTTCTGTTAAAACAAACTTGAAATTAGCACCCAAATTTTCCTTTAGCTCGTTTGGTCGCAAAAGCTTGGAGAAAAATCGGATGATGGATGGAAGAAAGGATTTCTTGTACAGATTTACACTCAACTACACAGTGATGAATCGACACAGCAAACAATTGACACAACAACAACAACAACAACAACAAAAATCCCGGAAACCACTTCAAAAAACAATTCTTTACAACAGTGCTCAGCATCACATCAACTCGATGAAAGGAATCCAATTTTCGCTTTTCCTGTTTATTACTTCTTGAATGGAGATCTGATCAATAGTATGTAGAGATTTCTAAACATGATGAAAATTATGTAATGAGTAATGCTGATTTTATAATTATAGTTAGCTCGCTAATTACATAGAAATTCTTAACAACTTACCTAACTACAGAAGGCTTGGTTTTTATAATGTTAGGCTCAAAATGTTTAGTTCAACATACTGTAGAAAAGCATGCTAATGTCAGTTGAAGCTTTTTCTCATTTTAAGGTGATTCAATTTGTTTGCAAACCTGTCCAGATTGTGATCTTATCTTTGATGTAACAAGAACGTGTACTATTCAATTGGTAGGTGAAAAGAAAAAAATTCTAATTGATCCTTTTAATCAAAAACAAATGAATTCAGGGAGATAACAGCCAAAATTGTCCATCAGAAATGGGGCTGAGAATCAATGGGACAAAGGTGAAAGTAACCGGATGCAAGACAGAGTGAGCTATTTGATTACAATAAAAATGCCCATGAATTCTAAATCTTTCAGACTTCTTTTCCGTGGGTTTGTTCGAGTATATTCTGAACGATGTACAATGAATCTGAAAGGAGATCAACGCTTTGATTGGTTTCCGGATGATCCAGATCTCGCTGCATTCACTAAAGGATCTTCGTTTGCTGTCCGAGTCAAACAATGGATTTATCGTTTGTTAATTGAACAAAACTCTACAAATTTATTTCAGTCGATTATGATTATCAATTGGAAACATTGAATCCATTTGTGATGGATTCGAGTGCAATTGATATCACTTACCCGACATCTTCTCGTCCTCTTTATGTCCTGCTTCCACTTCGAATCAATTTTTTCGACAGAGTCAACCTCCGAGATGTAAGCTTGACTATCTCTAATCTTAAATCATAAGATATCGATATCTTATTTATTATAAAACTATTTATTAGATATTTGCTTATTGTATCTTATTTATTACAAGTTTGTGTAATTTATTTATTACAAGTTTGTGTAATTTATTTATTACAAGTTTGTTATTTATTACATTATTTATATTATTATGTCCACCTCATAACCCAAGTTCCAATGGGAATTTCGGTCTGATTTTTTGGGAGGATGTCTAATGGACTACGGCGATTCGGCCTGTCAAATCAGAATTGAAAAATCTTTAACCGTTTTTGAGCAAAGTTGAAAAAACTGAATTTGGCGGTGATAGCAAAGGTCGGGACGGTCCATGGTATTTCGAGTAAACGGGAAACTCTACCTCTCAAACTTAGTTTAGTTATTGGAATATAAATTCGATAGTAAAATAATGAACTGTAGTAACATAAAATTAAACTTTGATCCATATAAGCTATGTAAACCAAATTGATGAACAGTTGCTGGTCTTGCATCAAGTAACATTCCAGAATGATCCTAAATGCTTCTTGGATTTGTTCATCGGAATGCCACCGGGAAAAGTATCGGATGGACTTGATCGAAAATTGCGTCATGACAAGTAAATCCTGAGTTCGCTTTGAGAAATGATGTTTTTCGTTTTTCAGAATGATCACTGAGAATCTCGAATCCTCTCTTTACAATATACTCATCCCACCAAAATGTTCTCCTCATTTAGTGGCCGACAATGAAACCAATTGTTAGTTTAAGTTTAAAGTGAAAGTGAATACTCCAGTGAAACCTCGTGTATCACTCGTGTATCAACATATTTTCAGATTTTCTTTTTGTTCAGATGTATCAGAATAACTTCAGCTAGCCACGAGCCGTTGGCTCTTTCCGGGTGTGGTGATGGATCGATCTTGATCAACACTCAAGCATTTCGATCACGTTTCGACAAAATGTTTGCTGATTTCAAAATTGAACGATGGATTCAATGCTGTTTGTGTTTCCTTGGACTGCAAAGCAAAAGCATTTAGATAATAATTCTGTGAGTTTCGCGATTAACGTGCGAATCGAATTCGCGACGTTTTTGAGTGGGAAACTTGATGCCAAAGCACTCGATCTGAACTCGAATTTAATTGAGGATCAGGGGTGAATTTGTGAAGGAACAGAAATTTAAATGAAGGAATTTTATGGATATACGGTAACTGTAATAGGTACACTCAAGAAAATCCAATTGATAATCGATTCAACGTGACACTCACAAATGTTGGCGGAGTAAGGGTTCGTTGGATTCGAACTCTAACATATAAAACAAAGTTTTGTCAGATCTTTTGGTCTCAGAAAAGTGACGAAAAAGCAGAAGATGGATGGGAAAAGGGATTCATTGCATGGGTTTACACAGAAGAGTACAAAGATGGGACACAACCATCGACAACAACAACAGCAAAGGCAACAAAAGCAACTATTGGTACAAAGACTACTACAGTACCAACATCAACAATTGCATCAACCACTTCAACAATCCCTTCTACCACAAAAATAACAAAAGAAACAACTCTGCAAATCTTGATCCTTGTGGTTTTACTTCTTTTGCTTTAATTTTCTTTTTGATACTCAGTCAATTTTATCATTTTATATTGATCTATTGATGTAATACTCCAAAAGTGTGAATGTAAACAGAACTTTAAATCAAGCTTTAAATTTATCCAATTTAATCCAAATTTGAATCGTTTGATGAATGAAAGAAAAGTTGAAACACGTTATGTCTACAATATTGTGTTGAGTCTTGAAAAGCTCTTATCAAAAGCAATGCCATTTTTGTGTCAGAGACATATCGTTGCACTTTATTGACTCACAATGAAATCTTAAAGTTCATTTTGAGTTATATGTTAGATTGGCCAACTTGAAAGTTGGTACACTTATTCATTGCACTTTTTAGAAATAACGAGTGCACCAATTAATCGACAGTTTTCACCAATCAAAAGACCCATTTATTCTCCAAAATCGACTTTTTGACAGATTTAGAAAAGTTTCTGTTTTGGAGGTTTCAAGGAGGAAAGAAGTTGAGGAACCAAAAATGAAACACTCGATGAAGCGATGGCTTGTTTGATCGTCGACAATATTGTGTTAAATCTTGATAAGCTCCTATCAAAACCAATGCCATTTTGGTGTCAGTATCGTTGCACTTTATTGACTCACAATGAGATCTTAAAGTGCATTGTGAGTCATATTGTAAGATGGTGATGAAGACGTAGATGATGAATGACTTCTCTGGGTTCTCTAGAAGTTGGATGAGATTTCAATTTGAAACTTGACCAAACTTGACTATCCCACACCATCAGCCACACAATTTCCACTCAATCACGGAAATGTACTCTCGAAACTTCCGCTTTCCTTTAAGTTTTTGTGTTAAAATCACAATCATTTACAGGTTTTCTCTACCTTTTCACTATAAAACAAAACAGAATCATGTGAGTTTTTCCGTTGACTACAAAAAGTGGAGGATAATTTCTTAGAATAAGTTAAGAATAAGTTAATTTGATGGGAAAGTACTTTCTGGAACTCTTGAGTAGATTTTTAAACGAATTCTTTTCATATTTTTGTTGTTGAATGAACAAAAGTGATCATTTCCGATGAACGATAATTCTTCAACTTCAATTCCCGATATTTCGTTCGAATCAGTTGATGTTCAGAATATTGCTGAGATTTGCTCAATGGCTTTGGTTTGTTCTTTAACAGAAATTCTGATTTTCATATTTCAATCATCAATTTTCCCCTTTCAGATGGGTATCCTTGGAACGTCTTCAGGAATTTGGGGACTAATTGTTGTTCAAAAAAATTCTTTTCTTAAAGGTTTCATTTGATTTACAATCCTTTTGCAAACATCCATTTCAGGACTAGTAAAACATTACATGTTACTCGATTTGCTCAATCTTTTACTCGTCAATGTTTGTCATTTATTCTGGGCAGTGCCTTGTGCGATTTGGTTTGTTTTTCGGTTTTTGAAAAGAACTGCAGTTATTCAAAAGCTATTACTAGTTTTGGACTGAATTCATTTACCCATTATCTGAAACTAACAACCAGTTGATGATCATTTACATTGGTCTTGACTTTCCGTTAAGCTAGTCAGTGCTTTGGTAGTATCTATTGGGTTGGTGAATTGAAAACTGCGGGACTTTGAACTAAAATTTATTCAACATAAAGCCATAAATTCATTCCAAATAATTTCCATTATTGACGACTTCTGCCCATTTTAAAGGCAATTTGCGGTTTCCTCTTTCGTAGTAGGATTTTGGTTTGTGTGTGAGACAAGTGTGAGACTCAAAAATGGAGGGCTGGAGATGTCCCAGTTTGAGCACTTTCTTCAAAAGAAACCCATTTTGGTGTCAATAGAGAAGTTGCAGAGAATCAAAAATTAGGCTTATAGCCAAATTTCCAAAAAGATACACTTAGTAGTTTCGCTTAAAATGAAAGTTTTGTGAAAATTCGTAAATTTCGCATTTCTTGAAAACCAGTTATTGAATCGTTCTGAAAATTTGGATATAAGCTTGATTTTTGATTCTCTACAACTTTTCCATTGACACCAAAATGGGCTTCTTTTGAAGAAAGTGCTCAAACTGTCACATATGACAATAGCCCGCAGTTTTCAATTCACCAACCCAATATATATATCATGTACTTTCCAAGAAAAGCTTGATTTCATTGAACTCTCTAAACCGATCACAAGACTTTGCAAGTTGTTTCGAGGCAAAAGTCTTTCCCATCGAGAAAGCTCAATTCAAAGAAGATCTTTCAAGTTTTCCTCCAAATTCTCTCATGAACACGAACTACAGCAGTCTGTATTTTGCAAACTCTAGAAGATTTAGAAAGCAGAATGATTCCATAAAAAAGAACAAAGAGATATAACGCTAAAAGCTGAATACGTAACTCAACGAACATTTTAGGAAACTCGATACGGTTGTCCCATTGCTCAACTACATCATTGCCGATGTGGCTTTCACACTTATTGTCCTTGGTTATAATCCAAAGGTAAGTTTCATGCTTGGCCTTTAAATTTATATCAAATTAAACTCAAAATTCACAAATCATGCATTCAGCTTTTCCTCGGCATCAACCGCCTACTCTCCATCTCTTTTGGCGGTCGATTCTTCTCATTTTTTGATCGTCTCAAATACCTCCAATATGCAATCATGATTGGTTTCCCCCTTATTGTCTATATTCTTTTCATGCTCCGTAAGTTACCATGAATTTTTCTTAAAATCTGTTTTCCAGCTGGTTGCCATGCGGCTTTCTTCGCTGATGGATTGAACTTTTTCTGGGTTGAAGGAGATTGTGGAAATGTGTTGAATTACTATATTGGGGTGAGTTTTTGGAAGCTTATAAGCAAAGGTAACAAAGGAAAGGGACTTCTAGGTACAATATCTTCCATTCCAGGTAGTTCTCGGTTATTTCTATTTGCCCAGCAATACAATCGTCGACTTGACTGTATTTTTCATGTTACATCGACGAGTTCGAGCGGCTAATAATGCTCGGAGACATCAAACGAGTGCACAAAAAGCGGAGAATTTGAGGAAAGAATATCGTTTAGCTGGACAGGTTTGTGGGAAAAGAAATAATTTCATTATAGACTCCAAAAATAGACCAACTTCCTCTTTCGATTCGTTCTTTGACTTTAGTTCTTTGACTTTGACTTTCTTTGACTTTTAGTTAAACTATTTTCCCATCAAATCACATAAATTCAATCTCTAATCTTTAGTAAAGAATACTTTCAAATTGGAAATACACAAACGTCATTTCATCGTCATTTCATCGTAATCCGGAATATCTACGTTTAGCTGCTAACTTGTAGTGTGTAATTGTAGTTGTAGACGTAATTCTTCAGTGTGCGTTGTTAGAAATGAAATTGTTGAGTTGATATTATGGTGAAGATATCATCTTATCTGTATTCTCTTTTCCAGATGGTCACCAACCTCATCACTGGCTTAATCCTCAACTTCTCTATTGCCGGTTTCTCATCTTTCACTTCTCCATTAGCTATTTTCATCGCGAGTACTCTCTTTTGGCAACTTTGCTCAATGATTGCTTGGTAAGAAGATTTCAATTGTCAATCGATTTCATAAACATTTTAGTCTTTCATATGCAATTCTCCTTCAAGAACGGAAATCGCTGAGACGAACGATTCGCGTGGTTTCAATTATAACTTCGACGACGGCAGCAAATTGAGATTCATTATTTGTTTTAGTACTGTTCAGAAATCTAATAAATTTTTAACAAACCAACAAAAAAATCAAGTGAAATACATTTAAAATACATTTTTAACAAAGAAAGGAATCAAGTGGACAGAAATGACAAATAATTTCCTTATTTCCCTTTCCTACAAGACCTTTCTCTTTTATATTCTTCTCTCCTTTCCCGTTTCTGAATGGAATTTTTGATGATCTGGAGACAATAGCCCAACTTGCTTCACACAAGAATTGGCATCCAATTTGAAAAAGACTTTAAAAATCGTTTTTTCTTTTAAATATTATGCTTAACTCTCTGCATTTGATATTTATGAGTAGAAAGAGGAAAACGGTGAGTGAGTTTAAAGATTTTAATCGAACAGACAAAAGTTAGGATTTGAAATTTCAGTCAGTCAAAAATCGGTTTGAAATTTCAGGCATGTATAGCAATTCTTGGTGTAATCATCGTTTGTTTTTATATTGGAGGAATTCTTCAAAATCAATGGAGATTAGAGGCATTGAAACGAATGAAATTTCGTCCACCACTCATTCAACACGCAGCCGATCCGAGAGTCGTTGTGCAAGTGCTTCAAATGGTTTGCATTTACAAGCATAGTATTATTTCAAATATTATAAGATATATTATAATATTATTATAATATTTCAAATATTATAGTTGTGTTTAAAAAAAAGCTCAGTTTATTGAAACATTTAGCCTCAAAATGGGATCTTTCCATTACCACAACCAGCCGTCAAAATGCAAGTTGAAAACGCGAAACTGCTTGATGAGGAGAACATTTTCATTTTTGGAGCTTATTATGACACGAGGTGATAAATTTATGACACGAGGTGATTTCTTCCAAAATCGAATTCTTTAGAGATCCCCTCGGGCCAAGAATTCGCATCTTGACGAATCTCGATTGTCGTT